ACGGACAGTATGAGGCATTTGACTGGCTGAATCATTCTTGCGAGCTGATATTGGATCATTGGTATCATCATACTACATATAAGAGTAGAAGTTGGTAGTTTGACATGCAGAACACAGGTGGGTGAATGACACCACGTCGTATCTGCTGTGCATGTCCCGTCCTACCCCAGATCTCAAAACCCCATCTCAGTGGATCCGACATGGCCTCTGCTGAATCCAAGGCTCACGTCATCCGCTGTGTTACATCGGAGGACTGCACTGCCCATGGCATCTGATTATCGGTTGCTTTTTGCTATCCGCACGATCCGACATTTAAACAATTCGGCCTTGCCGTTCCGCATACTTAGAGGAGCATGATTCGATGATTTTGAATGTATTTCGCCGCACGGGCTCACAAATGTGACACTTGTTCATATATTTCTACTGCAATATCGCATTATATTAGAGTGGATACTCTATGTTTCTATAAACATCAATAGGCTGTCAAGGGTCTCTATTCCATACAGCTTATATCTGAAATGGCAGACGGATTTCCAACTCAGAGCCAAATCGAGCTCTGCTCTCCGCGTGGCAATGACTTTCCAGGAACCAGCACGGAAACCCTACTCACACGGGATGCCCTGGAGCTGGCCCGGGTGGGGAAGAAAGAGGTTATGAAGGTATTGATCCTCTCGAGCATAAAGGGTGCCCTAAGCTAACTAGATCGTTGTTAGCGAAGATTCCGCCTCGCAAGCACCGTTGGATTCGCGAGTAGCCTGATGATCACATGGGAGGCGATGATGATGTCTGTTCCTGCTCGGGTCTGTCGCACATCTAACATCGCATAGACAATTCGGAGTGGGACTACGAAAGTATGCGTCGATGCCTCGTGCGTGCATAGGTCATTAATGATTCTAGTGGAGGTCCCCCGGGGCTGATATATGGATACATCGGGGTGTGGATTGCTTTTTTGAGCATTTTCGTCTCTATGGGGGAGTTGGCCAGCATGATACCTTCGGTAAGCTCTGCTTTCGTGACAACAACAGTGTGACGACCTACTAATTGTCAAGGCTGGTGGTCAATACCACTGGACAAGCATTCTCGCTCCGGCATCCTCCAAACGATTCCTCAGTCACATCACCGGTATCCCCCCAAGATCATAGTCAGGTGAATGCTAATGTATATAGGTTCCATCACCATCATCGCCTGGGAGACCGTGGCCGTAGGCAACTATGTCATTAGCGCGAGCGTTCTACAAGGCACCGTAGAACTCGGCAGACCCCAATATGACCCCAAAGGATGGCATGTAACTTTTATTACCTGGGGAATTCTCTTGGTTTCCCTGCTCGTCGTCACCTACCTGGGCGTGGTTCTGCCAGCCATCGAGATCTTTATCCTAGTGATCCACATCTTTGGCTTCTTCGCAGTTTTGTTCTCTCTGATTGCCCTGGGTCCCCAATCCGATGCGCAGTCTGTCTTCTCTATGCTCGTGGACCTGGGCAACTGGCATGATATTACCCTGTCCTCGTTCGTGGGACTCCAAGGCACAGCGGTGGCATTTGTGGGTAAGTACCCTAATGGCCCTTAGAATACCAGACTCACCTTCGTAGGCATGGACGGGGCTATCCACGTGAGTTACCCCTTCACCAAGTATCCATAACATCATCCTAGCTAACACTAATAGATGGCCGAAGAAGTCGAAAACAGCAGCATCGTCGTCCCCCAATCGATGCTCCTCGCCATCGTAATTAATGGAGCTCTCGGATTCGCCATGCTAATCACCATCCTCCTCAAATCGGGGGACATTCAAGCCCTTCTCGACTCCGACACTAAATACCCCTTCATGTTCGTATTGGAAAACTCCACGCAGAGCAAAACCGCCGCCATCATCCTTTCCAGCATGCTTGCCATCCTAACTGCCTGTGCCGGATTATCCACCCTCGCCTCCGGCAGTCGCATGCTTTGGTCTTTCTCTCGCGAGAAAGGAGTCCCGGGCTGGAACTGGATTCGTCAGGTACATCTTCCATCCCAGCACACCCCCTACCCCTCCCTACATACATTCTAATTCCAACTGAATCAAAGGTCCACCCCCGAACCACCCTCCCCAACCACAGCATCTTCATCATCGTAATCGCCACCGCCCTCATCAGCCTCATCAACGTCGGCTCGAACTACATCCTCAACATCACCCTCTCGCTCATCATGCAAGCGTTTTTCGCCTCGTACATGATCCCACTCTCCCTCCTTCTCTACCGCCGAATGCAAGGCCACATTGCCGACCCGAAAGAAGCAAACGCAGACTCCCCCGACAAACCCTACATCTGGGGTCCGTTCCGGGTGAAAGGGTGGCTCGGCATCGCGAATAATATCTTTTCGATTGTTTGTCTGGTGATTATGTTTCTGTTTGGGTGTTGGCCGTTGCAGAATCATCCGAGTCCAAGGGAGGTGAATTATAGTATTGCGTTGACGGGGGGCGCGACGGTGTTGGCGGTGGTGTATTATTTGGGGTGGGCGAGGAGGGTTTATAGGGGGCCGGTGGTGGAGGTGAGGGTTTATGCTAGTTCTAGGTAAGGAATTACTAGGGGGGTTTTATGTTTTGAGGGGGAAGGATTATGTTCGTCATGATGTAGGGCTGGGAAAGGAGAGTCGGGGGTTAATTACTTGAGGAGTGGTAAATATGGTCAATGATGAAAATATGTAAAATATTGGTTTAGCTACAAGAGGAAGTAAGTAAGAAAGAATGTAACTTGTGTAGGTTAGAGGGTAGATATACGTAGGGGTGAGGATGGTCTTTAACCGCCACCCCTTCTATTATATTGCGATAGAAAAAACTTTAACCTAGACGGAAGGGTTAATGGTTAATTTCTATGCAAACATTCCATAGATTTGATGTGGCAAAAAACCTGGGTGGATTATTATGAAAGGATGTTCTGAGATGTTCGAGGTTGTAGGTATAGAGGCGCATCGTCCTAATCGGGAAGTATGGCTGAGGCATGGGGGAGGCTCTTGTCTATTAGTCTACGAAGCAAGTAGTTTCAAAGGGAAGGTAGAGATGCCAAGAAAGAGTGCGGAGGTGATCAAGTGAGAATTAGAGTATGAGTAAAAGCAATGGTAAAAGCAATGAAATATAATGGTAGAGTATTCAACTTGTCACTGAGAAGAAAACAAGTTATTAATAGCTGCATCTCACATCTATAGGAATCGAGAAAGCTGAAATGGAAGGCGCGACCGTTCCAGTTGTAGGGAGGAGTTGAAGGGGGAGGAAGCAGCCAATCAAGTCCCCGGCCCTGGCGCTAGGCGAAGCGGGGAGTCATGTGACGCACAGCGGGAATTTTGGGCCACAAACGAAAGACGGCGTGGAAAGCGTCAGACTCTTCCTGAACGACCTTCCCGACGACCCTCACGACACCCGTCCGAGTTCTACCACGACCTTTAGGTGGCATCTTCAAAAATGGCTGTTCGGAACTCCAGTGCGTGCTCACTTGCCCGATTTTTAATATCGATCTTCGGTTGCTGATCTCCATCGTGCTATAGGTCTCGCCTCTTCTCGCCGCAAGTCGCGCGCCGCCCACTTCAACGCCCCCTCCAGCGAGCGCCGTGTCATCCTCTCGGCTCCTCTCTCGAGCGAGCTCCGCGCCAAGTACAATGTACGTCGATTCTACGATTGATTCGGGATATGGGAGATCTGGAGACTTGCTGGGAATCGTGGTTATGCACGGGATGGAGGACCAGATCATACCCGATGGATGGAAAAATATAATATCGGAGGATTCGTTCTGACAGTGTTTAGGTCCGCTCGATCCCCATCCGCAAGGACGACGAGGTGAGCCAATCAATCGACCCCCCTGAGATAACCCGCTAAAATCATCCAAGGTCGTTGTGGTCCGTGGCAGCAACAAGGGCCGTGAGGGCAAGGTCACCAGCGTCTACCGTCTGAAGTGGGCCATCCACGTCGAGCGCATCAGCCGCGACAAGAGCAACGGCCAGAGCGTCCCCATCCCCCTCCACCCCTCCAAGGTCGTCATCAAGAAGCTCCACCTCGACAAGGACCGCGAGCAGATCCTCGAGCGCATTGCCAAGGGTCGTGAGGCCGTCAAGAGCAAGTCGGCTTAAATGGGTTTGAGGTTTAGTTCATACGGCAATGGCAGTGATACGCGGGAGTTCCGGAAGACGCGAACAATGGGATCTTGCCTACGATCGGGATATATCTATTGACATCGGTGTATTCTGATGAAATGAAAACGAAAAATCAATTTCCTCTACGTTCAGTGGTGTTCAGCTTGCGACAGACTATTCAAATGGAGTAGAGGGCGTATATTGGAGCATACGGAATAGGAGTCGTCATTTGGACAACTCTGGCATCTGGCATCTGCGTCTGCATCTGGCATCAGTTTAAACCGTGCACCGTGCCCATAGGGCCCTTCCCGGAACTCATTAGTAGTGGAAGCCCAAGGAACCCGTTTGATTTCATCCTGGAGTAACCTTTTTGGGCCCGTAGTTCTTCTGGATGGCATCCATCCAACTTAGTGCCAGGATTCCTGCGGGTCTGCAGCTTATTAATCGCCGGCAAAGTCAGTGTGGGAAACCCCATCCCCACACAGTCTCGATCGATTCTCTGCCATTGCCATTGTCGGTCATCCACCATCAATATCGCCATGGCCAAGTCTAAAGCAGCCAAGCGCAAGCGCAATGCCCAAGTCGATCTTCCCCAGAAAGTCCCCAAGGCTGACTCGATTTTGACGCCGCCGCCCGATGGCGCCACCCGAGAACCGAAAAACCTGACAACGGTGGTGGACGAGGAGGAACTGGACATCACCATTGAGACGCTGAGAACCCTCACTCAGTACCCCAGTCTCACCAAGTCCAAGGCATGCAAGGATCTCCGGGTGGCAGTCTATGACTTTCGTCAGGCATGCACCACGGGGGTCAACACTGCCGGTACGCTGCGCTGTTCCTGATGGATGGCGACCGTTAATCTTCGATAGAGGGGGCCAACCTGACGGCACGCATCACGGGGGCCCTGGCCGATAAAAAGTACCTGGACGCCAAGATCCTGCTGGCCGAGATGAGAATCCGGGGGGAGCAGCCCAAGATCGGAGCCTTGTGTCGCTGGGTGCGCGATCTGGACGTGGTCAGCGGGTTGTCCACCCAACCCGAAGCCCTCGCCCGAGCCCCTCTGGAACGCAGCTCCGAGGATTTGGAACTTCTGGTCGTCCTCGACGCCATTCTACGTGTCAGCACCCCGATTGATACCAGCCCGGATGCCGTCGACTCGACCTCTCCCATCGCCTTCCAGTCCATCTGGGACCTGCGCCCCTCGACCACTCCCTTGCCCGTCTACGCCTCCGTCCTCGATAAATCCATCCTGGCCGAAGCCCCGAAATCTCCCTCTGCCCTCCGCATCATCGAAGAAACCCCGGGTCCCCTCCGCAAGCCTCCGAACCATCATCCGGCTATCCTCTACACCACCGCTCCTAACGCCGTCCCGCTGGCCCCGGTCGGCCCGTCTATAACCTACGTGCCCCATCCCGCCGTGCCCGGCCTCGGCCTCGCTCTGAACGTCCTCTCCACCGCCGAGTGCAAGGCCATCATCGCCGCCGGAGAGTCCGTCAACTTCGTCCCGGACGTGCCCCGCCGTGAAGACGGCGACATGAGCATCCTGGCCCACAACTTCTACTGGGTCGTCGACACCACGTTCCACGACATGCTGTGGGCACGTATCTCAGCGTACGTACCACAATCGATCAACGGACGTCTCGCCCGGGGCATCAACCGCCGTTTCCGAGTTTACCGCTACGTCCCTGGGGCTGAATACCGCTGCCACATCGATGGAGCCTGGCCGCCGTCCGGCATCCTCCCGGATGACACATACGTGTACGATGCGTCGCCAGAGGACAAGAAGCAGAGCTCCATGTATACCTTCCTGCTCTATCTGAACGACGAGTTCGAGGGCGGAGAGACGACATTCTTCATCCCGGCCAAACGGGAGGGCACTATGAATGCATACCCGGTGCGTCCAGTCATGGGAGCGGTAGCGATATTTCCACATGGCGAGGCCAATGGGGCTTTGCTGCATGAGGGTACGGGTGTCCGCAAGGGCGCCAAATACATCATCCGGACGGACGTAGAGTACGACGTGAAGCCGTGCGAAGAGTGAAGATATAGAATGCCATTTATACGCCCGTTGGGCGATGCGTTGACGACCTTAAAGTAGTAGAGACTGAAATACTGACGGCCAGGTGATTCGCTTAAAAGTTTATCGATTTTGATCCGAAGGGCCAAGCTCCCGCGATAGGACGGATGAGCAACAGCAGACAGAGATAACAGCTGACTTGGTTATGATGGTTGCAGGTGCAGCTTTATTCGATCTTTTGGATCATGCAATGGCTCATCTAGGAATATATTTCTCACAGAATTTGGAAGGACTGTGACTATGCACTGATTTCTTGGCATTGGTCCCTCGAGACGGAGTACTCTCAATGAATTCCCGTAAGAGCCTACAACTATCAATCACACCACAGATGCTAGATTGGAGATACTACGGTGTGTTATATGACCTTACAAAATATTGTAACGCAGCATTTGTGAGAAAATCACATCATTACGTTCAAACCTGAAGAGTGTGACCCGAGGCCATACTAGAAAACCCGACGCGTCGAAATATATCCTGCCACTGCTATCCCCTTATCCGCATGGAGACTCGGGATGAAATACAATGACAATGTAAGCCACCAACTCCGAGTTTTACCTAGGCAGTATCTAGATTAGGGATACTCAATCTCATCCACCACAAAAACGAAAGAAAGAATATCAAACGAAATGATAAGCTGATAGAATCAAGTTCTGATCCAGCGGAAGAACACTACCCCGATACTGGTTAAGGTGATAAGCGATAAGCGATAAGCAGCCAATAGCCACGTGACCTCTACCTGCACATCAAAATGGGATTTTGTGTACGGAGTGCATGCTCCTAAAAATTCAATTTTCATTTTTTGAGTCCTATATATTTCGGAGTGAATAAGAAAAAAGTACATACGACCACAGGGTGTGGAAAACAGGGCTTCCCGTCCGCTCAGCCGTACTTAAGCCACACGCCGGGAGGTTAGTAGTTGGGTGGGTGACCACCAGCGAATCCCTTCTGTTGTATGTTTTTATCCATTCTTCGTTTTTTACCCCCTCCCAGCTGGCTTTTTTTTCTGATTCTGTTCACCATCAAAGTGTCAGATAAAAAGAAGTTGGAGAGAATTACTGCCGCATGCCAAACAAGGGATGATGAGATCCAGTAACAGTCTTGTATCAACTACTTAGTGTAGGTTTTGATCTGGTGATCGAACATCATACATTGTAAACGCAAGGTGTATTTTTTCATTGTGCTCCTATAGGTAATCACCCTGCTAGCTTAAAAGAAATCACTCCCGCATCCAGTTCTCTGAGTTACTATCTGGAAAGGCCTTATGGAACTCGTTCACCTCCATCCATTCCACCGCGTCCGTGAAAGTTGCAGATGCTGTATAAAACTTGTCCAGTATCTTATTGAATTCTATGATGTATTAGTCACATTTTCGTTCCAATAGGGAATCCAAGGAAAATGGACCAAACTAAAAAGAGATACCGTTATTATGCAGCGGATAGGATAGCTGCAACGAGAAAACCACATGCCTATATCTTAGAATAGAATCAAATTTGATGTATGGCAATGCCTAGTTTCTACAGCCAGCAAAGATGCATACATACGCATTTTCCCGGAATAGAAATAACATAGAGATCAGCCAGTGTCCCTCCTTCCTCGAGCCCCTCATGATAGATTTCAAATTCATTGCGAAGTAACACCTGCAACGAGATTGAATTTGGTCCAAATACCGCTCCATTTGAATCTGGAAGAGAATCAGTCATTGGTAAGACGAGTCAAAACACCTGCTTACAAGGAAGAGAACCAGATAGAATCGGATAGATTAGACCATCTTTTGCGATGTGAAGATAGTTATTCCCGAAGCCTTCCTTGCGATTGACTTGATCATAGAGGGATGATAATCGCTGTGTTTGTAAGCGGTGTATTGTTGCTGGGAAGGTGGTGTGGACGGAACTGACGGAGAAATGTCGTTGGTTGATGGATATAATTGGAGGATTGGAGATGATACGGGAAAGGAGGCGAGGTGCTCTGAATTTTCGGAACATGGCGTTGTGCAATCTGGTTGTTAGAGTGTGGGTTGTATGGTTGTGTCTTAGACAAGAGATATGAAGAGTTGGCCTTGAAAGGAAAGCAGCGGATAAAGATACAAGGTATCTAGGGGTGTATAAAAATTGCGCCGAGAAAGCTGGAAGTATAATGGCGATACTACTGGTGAACTGATGGGAAAGTTTCGCCAAGGTGCCGGGTATTCTCTGCTTTTATCCTATCATAATAAGTTAAGATGATTGTATTGGTCAGACTGTTATCCTACAGCGGCATGTACCGTTGCGCGGCGGAGAAACTTGATGAGTGGGTTTGAGCCCTACGCAACCTCAGCCACACTCCTCCACTCCAACTCCAACGAAGAAACAAAAGCAAACAAAGTCAACCCCAAAGTCACCCGAAGAACATCCATGGATGAGTTCAGACTCAGGAACGTGATGAGGCAGTGGCGCTCCAAGCCAATCATGGATAGTAGCTCCGTTTTGGGCATGTCAGCATTTGCCTCAACTCCATGATTCCTGCCAGAGTCTTGCATTAAGTCGGTTTTCAGCGGGAGTTAGGATATTATCCTGGATTTATGAATCATTTGCCATATCTATATTCTAAATGGCCACAAACTATCATACAATGTCGCCCACGAGTTAGCTAAACTGCTATTCTTTTTTCTCGGACAACTTACTTGGAATTACTGCCATGAAATGCCACCACCAGCTTATCCAGCGCGATGTAAACCTCCTCTTGAACCGTGTATATGAGATCATGCAAGACACGGCTTTCCAGCAATTCAGGAGGATCCTAGTCTGCGTGTAGAGTGCGACAAAATGATTCTGTTTCCGCGGATTGTACGACTGATAATTAGGATTTCGCAGAGGGTATTTGTGGCGATAAGTTATTGAGATCCACATAATGTCTACATGCATCTATCCGGGGTTGACGGATCAGAACAAGTTTGATAGACACCTCGTAAAAGCCCATCAAGCCATTGAGGGTTGCAACAGGAATGTGTTACCCTCCGGTACCGGCACCCATTTCATTCACTCTAACCAGTTCCTCTAGGAGAGTCTGACTGCTCTGTGTTATCATGGTAATTTACGGAATGTTACCCTTGGACGGCAGTACATAAAACGTTTTTAATGATCCCATCGAGTAAAAGATACCAAAACTTGACTTGGATACTGTTGCTACGTGGAGGGAGATGCAAATTTGAATCGGAGCTATCCATCTAGTATGACCAGAAGACTTTTAGCAAATAACTCTAGAAGACTTTTGACAAAATCATTTGGGAAATACCTCCCGAAGTGTCGGTTACCCAATACCCAGGATGTACTACGGAGTATTTGTCGCTGAAAATTAGACACTCCATTATAGGTATAATATGGAGAGAGTCCTGGGGGTGGAAAGGAGGGTTCAGGTGAATGTCAGGGACTATCCAACACGATAAATTGCCATTCACAATGTCTGGAACAAAAGCTATATAGGGAAATAGAACTCACTACAAGCTGATCAATCAAAGCAGGAACTCATCCGCAGCCAGAGGGCCAAATGCCTAAGAAAAGATGATACTGTGAGCAAAAATTACATACTGCCGACTTAAAATCGTAGGATAACACTATTATGCGACATATTGCCTTAGGCATGTACTCACAGGAAAGAACCGAGATCCTTTCCCTAAGTCATTATAGAGCCGGTCGCCAGCCATTCACCTATAATCCATCATTATCGGAAACTACCTCGTCAGGAGAAACGGTGCCTACAAAGAAAGTACTGCTTATATCCAACAGCTATTGCCTTGAGTGAATAAATTCTCCTGCATCTTACCCCCTCTCCCCACCACCCATACCAAAACCGAAAAAGTACTTACTATCATCCACCTACCACCACTCCAAAACAACTACGATAACAAATACCCACCATGACCATATCCGAGATCCTCAGAATGTCATTATACACCCTCCTCATCGCCTACTACCTCATGCCAATCATGGCACTCCCTCTAATGTATCGAGTATGGCCCCAACTCAGCCGAATCCAGCGGTGTGTGATATTCTTCGTTTTATTATACTGGACTTTCACCATCGTGATATTCCTCATCGCGGCGAGTCAGACGAGCACAGTGTCGAGTGTGAGAGATTTAGTGGGTTTCCACCATCCTTATTCTATGAAAGAGTGAACAGCTCAATGTTAATAATATCTGTGGTATCTAGATGAAAGCAATGGCGGATCCCGTCGCGGAGGGAGTTCCTGCGGGGCCACAGAGGGAATTGGATTTGGGCTGGGTGGGGGATTTATGAGAGTGATGTGGATTTCGACAAATACGAAGAGGGTCGCAGGGGCTAATATAATGGGGCTGAGTGGTCATGCGGAGGTACAAGAGGGGCAAAAGGTCTGGCCCATGCAACAACCACAACCACCTGTCGAATTTTGCCAATAGGGGATCAGGGAAATGGACAATCCCACGCTTTATTGGTACCCCCACACTAGATCACACTCTCCTGCCTGGTTGAGATGGTCGGAGGATTCTTGTTTCTCGGATGTAACCTTACTCGGGGTAAGGAGTTCGGGATCCGACGTGAGACATTTACTCGGCGGGTGTGTTGCCGGGAAGTCTGGTGGTAATCTCATTGAGATGATCGGAGTGTCCCTGTATTAAGTAGGAGAATCAAGGACAGGTGGAGACAGATGGAATGTATCGCAACCTACGTTTGCGGGTGCCCCAGCATCGGAGCCAGCGAGCGGGAATTTGAGCTGATAAGGACAGTTTTGGTGGTATTTGCTTGACTAGGACTAGTACACTGCTACGTGAAGGTTTTAGTTGACTCATCAAAAGCCAGTTGTTGAGATTTAGTGTCAGTCACGAGATAGTGCATTGTTAGTCAGCCCTAAGTCAGTGGTGTTGAATTTCTCCGACTGCTTGCAGCGAGAATGTTCCATGACGTCATTATACAGAAGACAAAATTCAGTGGCAGTGTAGGTGTAGGTATATCATTGCTGTAGCAGAGAATTTAACCGATCTTAAGTAACAGATGCCACAGCGTCATGGTACCTGAAAAGCTTTTAACCATATCACTGTGCTGTGGTCAGGAACGTCACTCCCATCGAATCAGGTGCCACGGTATAAAGTCAGCACCGAGGTTACCGAGGTTCACACACCGAAGGCAACAGCTTTAATATGATTTGGCCAATACTTCCGAAAGTGGCGCAAATGAAGTTCAGTTCAGTTCAATGCTGGAGGTAGCAAGCAGTGATGATATCATAGCATCTGAAGTGTTGACGGTGGAGATCGGGCCAGTCGTACTCCGAGTTAGTTGCATTCGGCATGGAGCGAGACAAATCACACCTTCCCGACGCTGCACGGCGGATCCAGTCCCGATGCCTTTATTGGGCGCCACTGACCCACCAGGATCCGCCCGGGCCGCCCCACACCCCCTTGCCGGAAATCCGGTTTGAGCACGAACGCGATGACAACACTGTCCCCGATGACTGATCATTCTCTACCCCGGATCAGGTTCTTATATCTAACATGGGCTGACCCCATCCGTGTCAGACCACACTCCAAGTGGTAAAGACATCAATTCCTGTTCCTGTCGATAACACCATCAATGACCTCACACCATGCACGACGAACCCCAACCCCAGCCCTGGTCTCGACGCAGTTCCTTCTCCGAAAAGGGTAAAGACAGTCAGGATGATGGCGAACCGGTTGTCCCCGCCTTCAATAATGGTGTCGATGTAGAGACACGGCCCGACGGCAAACGTGAGTTGAAAGAAAATGATTGCTATGACAAGTTGGCCTATTGCTGGCCCCGATGGAAGAAATGGATGTATCTGGCCGCCATTGCGGGGGTCCAGGTCTCCATGAATTTCAACACCTCCGTCTTTCCGAACGCCGTGACCCCCCTGTCAAAAGCATTCCACATTGGTGAACAAGAGGCCCGCACAGGGCAGATGATCTATCTGATCACCTACTCCATTGGGTGCGAACTGTGGGCACCATGGAGTGAGGAGTTTGGCCGCTGGCCCATTCTGCAGCTCTCCATGTTCCTTATCAACATCTGGCAGATCCCATGCGCCTTGGCGCCAAACTGGGGCACTATTGTTGTTTGTCGTGGATTGGTTAGTACTGCTTCTCATCATCATGCATGCATGCGCTGACTTGTCAGGGTGGAATTTCAACCGCTGGCGGTAGTGTCACTCTGGGTCTGATTGCAGATCTCTACGAACCAGATAACCAACAATTCCCTCTGGCCTTCATCGTCCTATCATCCTGCATCGGAACCAGCATTGGCGGAGTGATAGGTGGACCTATCGAGCGATGTAAGCCCACCCCCCCTCAACCCAAGTATACCCACTAACACCCACAGACCTCGACTGGCAATGGTTCTTCTGGATCATGCTCATCTTCGGCGTCGTCGTCCAAGTCATCATCTTCTTCATGCCGGAAAGTCGCTCCACGATCCTCATCGACCGGGAAGCCAAACGCCGTCGCCAATCCGGCGAAGACCCCAACGTCTACGGGCCCAACGAGCTCAAACACCCACGTATCTCCCTCAAAGAAGCGGGCAAGATCTGGATCCGTCCATTTTACATGTTCCTCCGCGAACCAATCGTCCTCTGCCTCTCCCTCCTTTCCGGATTCTCCGACTCCCTCATCTTCACCTTCCTCGAGAGCTTCTCCATCGTCTACGAGCAAGGCTGGGGCTTCGGTATCCTCGGCCAAGCCTGGGCCGTCATCCCCATCAACGTCGGCTACTTCATCGCCTACTTTTCCTACTTCCCGTGGTTCTGGCGCGACGAACACATCCGCCAAACCAGGGGCGATGATGCCCTGCCCGCCGAGCGTCGTCTCAAATGGCTTCTTTTCCTGGCCCTGCTCGAACCGATCGGATTATTCGGCTTCGCTTGGACATCCCTCGGTCAAGAATACGGTGTTCCCTGGATCGCATCGATGATTTTCTCTGCTCTCGTGGGTATCGCCAACTACGCCATCTACCTCTCCTCGGTGGATTACATGGTCGCTTCGTACGGAGTGTACTCTGCTTCCGCGACGGGCGGAAACGCCTTCTGTCGTGATCTGTTGGCTGGTATTGCGGCGATGTATACCACGCCTATGTATACCAATATTGGAAATAAGTGGCATGTCGAGTATGCTACGACTATTCTGGCATGTCTGTCTTGTTTGGTTGTGCTGCCGATTTATATCTTCTATTGGAAGGGGCCGCAGATCCGCGAGAGGAGTAAGTTCGCTCAGACGTTGGCTTCGGATCGGCAGGCGAACCATGGTCGTCGGGTTAGTAAGGAGGAGGCTGCGCCTTAGATGTGCAGTGGGTATCTGCATTATGCTGGCGTGATGTTGAAAATTGGGATTACTTTGTATATATGAGTTATGTTTAGACGACTATAGATATGCTTTATGATTGATAGAGATGCTGAATTTTCAGTTCTTATACCTCTTGTTTAACTGGTTCTTCAGTAGTATTAGAGTTTGGTTAGTCCTTAAGTACACGCCTTATACTACTATCCCCTAGCCTCAGGAACAACAAAAGTATAACATCATATGTTCCGAACAACCCTAAGTCATCCCACAACCTACCAACAAGCCCAACCCCACAGCCGATCACTCCTTATATATCAACAGAAAGAAGATCCATCAGACCTGTATACCTCACCCCCTCCCTCCACCCAACAACGGCTCCCTCTCCCTCCCCCTCTGCCTCTCCCTCCCCCTCTGCCTCCCCCTCCCCCTCAACCCCCACCCTAAAAACCAACCATCCCCACCCCACCGCCCAAACCCCATAATCCAGCCCCAACCACCCATACCCAAAATACCATCCCAGCCCGGCATCCCACACATCCGCATACACGACCCTCCACGACCAACTCACCGCAACAAGCCCAAACACGATACTCTGAGCCATCAACCCTACCACACTCAGCGCTGAATCATCCGCACACAGATCCTTGCGCTGTCTGCTCTGTAAAATGAACGCATACACGCCGAGAAAGCTAGCGAGTGGGGTGAGAAGGATGGCGTGGATGGCGACGAACGCTTCGAGGATGTCGGTGCGGGGCCAGGGGAGAGTCGCTGGTGTTAGGTGTAGGAGGTCGAGGAGGAGGGGGAGGAGGGAGGAGAGGAGAGTTGCTAGGAGGGTTAGGATGTAGATGGGGGTGGGGGTGTATGGGGTTCTGGTTCTGGTTCTGGGGTGGAGGTGGGGCTGGGGATCGGGGCGGAAGTAGAGGGATAAGATGAAACTTGGTCGGGGTTAGTTTCCATTAAGTGTTAAAAGGGGAGGGGGTACGTACAGAAAAAGGAATAAAATCCAAGTAACTAGAACTTGTATAAAATTTAACCAGTCGCCGGTGTTAAGCGGGTCGTGGGTGAATTGGCCGGCTGCGGATTCAGGGACATTGAGGGTCATGTATGTTTCTTTGGTGAGGTGGGAGGTGGCGACGAGGAGGAGACAGAGAGTGTAGTTGAGGGAAATGCCTTTACTGGATTTTTTGGTCCAAAGGGTGTACAGTTGGATGGTGATGGAGAGGATTGTTAGGAGGGTTAGGATGCTGCGAGGGGTTAGTTGGGTGGTTTAGGTGGGGAGGGGGAGGGGGAGGAATACATTCTGATGGAATCTGGGAGCTCTGAGTACGGGGCTTGTATTGGAGAAGTCATTTTGGAGGTAATACTTGCTGGAGTATGGAGGTTGTGAAGGTGTTCTGATGAGTTGACGTTGAAACTAACTAGACTTGTGGCTAACCGGATATGACTAGTAGATGGTTAGTATCGGAGTAAGATGGGGATAGTATGCATAGCTGATTGTATTTGAAGTGATTTCTAATTTGATCTATACTGGATATAATCCAGTATCTACTTCCCATTGGTCTATCTGGTGGTCATGACATCCTTCCCAGCTACACATTTGCTGGCGTTGCCCTAAGCCTCATTCACATCATGAACAAGAATTATAATTACCATCCTAATTCTTCAACCATTCAGCAAATTTATACCTATCTCCTCCCCTTTAATCAGCCCGCGTCGCATCCACCTTCCCCCTAACCAACTCCGCCAACAACCCATCCCTCTCCCTTTCCACCCTCTTCAAATCCACCCCCTCCACCCACCCATTCACCGTCTCCTTCAACGCATGCACCCTCTCCCCATCCCCCAAATCAAACCTCTTCTCCTGCATATCATCCAACCAACTCCTTAACGCCGGTCCCAAATGATCCATAAAATGCCCAAAATCCCCTCCCCCACCCAACGTATTCGTCATAATCGGGCCTGTGAGCGCCCATCGCAGACCAAGCCCTGAAGTAATAGTTTTATCTATCCCAGTTAACACAATCCCATCCAACACAAAATCCAGACACAGAGAAAGAATAGGGGAAGGAATATACTAACCTAAATCCTCCGGCGACACCACCCCCCTCGAAACAAGACTATACGCCTCCGCACAAACCGCCGCTTGAAGACGATTAGCAATAAACCCTGGTGTTTCCTGCTTCACAACAACAGGGTCTTTATCTAAACTAGCATAGAAGGTTCTAGCTGTGGCAATAACTTCATCACTAGTTCGAGGGTGAGGAACGATCTCCACGAGGGGAACCAAATGCGGTGGATTAAATGGATGGGCGATGAGAATCCGAGAGGGGTTATTTTTGCATTCGGTGATGAACTCTGATGAGGGGAGACCGGAAGATGATGATGCGATAAGGGTGTGATTGGGAGTTTTGGCGTCGAGGTGGGCGATAAGTTGGCGTTTGATGGGGAGTCGTTCGGGGCCGTTCTGGGTTGGTTAGTTGGGATGGAAGGTGAAGGGTGGTAGGGGGGTTGGACGGACTTCTTGGATCAGGTCGATGGTCGCTAGGTAGGGATCAATGTCTGACATGAATGTATAGTTCTTTAGACATTCGTCTGGTGGGCAAATAGCGTTCGGTACAGCTGCGCAATACTCCTCCAGATAACCACGCAGCTTGGCTTCAGCTCCTGGGGCTGGATCGGTCACGATGACACTGAGGCCTTTGGCGAGGAAGAGGGCCGTCCAGCTGGCGCCGATGACGCCGGCACCGATTACTCCGACTGTTTTGATGGAAGAGGACATGATGAAGATGCTGGACTAAGTTTACTTTGGGATTTGGGTGTGTCCATACTCTATATAGGAATGCCGGAAGACTTATTCCGTGCCCTAATCGGGTAATATCCCCCATCGGAAGGAAAAATCTCGGAAGTGTTTCAGGCTTCGGGAATCGCTCGGGGATTTCTCAGCATCGGATAATAAAACGGACATTTTGGGCATTCCGTCACAATGCCGAGTGCCGGATTGTGGATCGGTGGATCTGACGCCAAATGAAGGGGTGGTGTGTAGGCTATAAGTAGGCGTGCCCGGATGATCCCTACTGTCTCAACATTCAAGGTTCTTGGTCTTTTGGCTTAAGTTACGGAGTACTCACAATGACTTCCCACGAAACCACACCCAGCACAGACATCTACGGTCCCGGGACCTATGTAGATAAAACCTTCCTTCCCGCGCCACAAGACGCGCGTCGCATCTTCGAATACATCGCCAAGAGCACACCTGGCTTCACTCAGAACCAAGACCTTTGGAACACCGTTGACTTCCAAGGCAGCTCGCTACCCATCATCCCCGGACCATTCAAGGCCCCTCTCATCGCCGCAGCGCTACATGCCATGTGCGGTGTTGTCGCCCACGAAATCATCCAAGACCGTGATGGCACAGCGGCTAGCACCCAACAGGTAAACATCAATGTCGACCACGCCGCCATCTGGCTGGGAACCATCTTCGCCGCCTCCATCGAAGGAAAAGACATGTCCGAGCTCGTCAGAACACGTCAACTACCCACACTCTTCAAACGAGACTTCGAAGGCGACTTCATGTCATCACCCATGAGACAGCGAACCACGGCATTATACAAAACCAAGACCCCCGGCGTGTGGTACCAACTTCATGGTTCTCTGAACGCGGCACCCGTTCTACAGGCCCTAGGCATCGACCCGAATTACCCAGCCAAGAACTCAGACGAAGCGTACGAACACATCGCTCGACATGTTGAACAATGGGCCGCTGATGAGCTGGAGATGCTTAACATCAAGAATGGCTTCTGTGGAAGTATTTGCTTTACCCCACAGGGATGGGACGAGACCTCCATGGGGAAGAGACTCGCGGCTCATCCGCTAGTGGGATATTCTCGTCAGAGACATGCCATTCCGACGCCCCCGGTTCCACTGCCCAAGGTACAGAATGACAGACGGCCACTGGCGGGGATTAAAGTGGTGGAGTTGGTGCGGATCATCGCTGGTCCGGTGATCGGAAATACTCTTGCTGCGATGGGGGCGGATGTGATTCGGGTGGGATGTAGTCGGTTGACGGATCTTAATGTATGGTTTATACCCTGGGATTGTTGATGCTGTGCTAATGAGGAGGTGTAGGTCTTACAACTTACCCTGAACGCGGGTAAACGGACAATTGATCTGGATCTAACCAAAGAAGAGGACAAGTCGCGACTCCGGGACCTCATCAGCGGCGCCGACGTCTTCATCCAAGGGTTCCGGCCCAACGCTATCGCCCGGAAGGGCTTCGGAGTCAACGATCTCCTTGAAATGGCAGGCACCCGGGGCAAAGGAATCGTCTACGTAGAGGAGAACTGCTACGGACCTGACGGCCCCTACCATGAGAGACCCGGGTGGCAGCAGATAGGCGATGCGGCGTCCGGATCGTCCTACGTTATGGGTCGCTCTTTGGGATTTAACGATGGAACGAGTATTCTTCCTCCGCTGCCTATCTCCGATATGACCACTGGACTTGTGGGTGCGTTGGGTGCGTTGATGGCGCTGCGAGATCGGGCCCGACATGGTGATTCCTATCGCGTGACGAGTTCATTGGTCAAGGCTGATGCCATTGCCTTGGAGCCGGAGATTGGGCTTTACTCGCCTGAGGTAGTGGAGAAGAGTAAGCAGGTGTTTCAATGGGGGTATATTGGGCCTTCGTTGTTTGTGACGGAGATTCTGCTGGTTGTTATGGATGGGTGGAAGAGGGTGTTTCCTCAGTATTTTGGGGGTGGAGATGAGTCGTTGCTGATGAGCTTTGAGGAGGGGCCGTGGGGGAAGATGGAGATCTTGAGGCCGGTGGTGAGGTTGGGTGATGATGATGTGACGCCTCGGTGGTTGACGCCGGCGGTGCCGAATTGTTATCATGGGAGGAGTATTGATTGGCTTTGAGTCATTGGGGATTAGTCGGGGGTGGTAGATGAGAATGGGATTGTATGCAGTGTGCATTTCATGCGTGGATGTGGTAATTGTTTTTAATATAGATATTTTTCTCCTTAGATCACGAACGCTTCCTTAAATATCATTGACATTTTATGTAGAAGCAGGTCGGCACACTAAACTGAACATGGGAAGGAAAGCCTCAAGCTCGTGAGAATAAGCTATGCCTCTATATCCCAGCTTCCAGCCGGAGTATCGCCATCCAACTGCGCAAAGAACATGGGCCATTCATTCCAATCAAACGAATAGTTTTCCACCATAGCCAAATTCTCGATGACTTGAGGGTCATTTCCCTCAACAACGAGATCCTGCACGGGTGTGTGGTCATGGTCCATGACGACATTAGACCCCTCCACAGGGGCATAGTCTTCAATCAACTTGATCACCGAGCTACACCTCGACGCCAATATAGGATGTTTTTCATAATCCTTAAGAATGTCATGAGCCTGTTGCAGAACATCCCTCAAGCGAGCCGCGGAGAAGTACTCCACTATTTGTGGGGATGATTGGGCTGCAAGTAGATTGGTTACGGCCATGTATACATCTGGTTATGGTTAGCCACGGGGTCAGTTGCCTAAAAGGGATGTGCGTACATGAAACAGTGTACCAGTTTGATGGTAAGATGTATGCTTGTTTCTGCTCCGGGGAGTTCCTGCCGATGAACTCGATCATATCGGCTGCAGCTTTGGTACAGTTTACTTGGCATTGGAACACCACGTGGGGCATGATCTGGTCGTCTGTATATAACCCGATCCCAGACCCTGGGAGATTCTCGGGCCTTTGTTGGTGAATTTGTAGAAGCAAGAGTCGGAAAAGGAGAAGTCGGACAGAGAGATACCTTGCGTAGAATAGCATGTTAGCGTTGATCCTATAGTTCGAAAATGGTACTAACCGGGCACGTAGAACATTTGCTTCACGAGTGATATGTTTCGTTGGCGTTGGGTCTTCCGCATCCGATGGCATTTGAAAGAAAGGGTGGAGGCCGCGGGCCCATTCATTCAAAGCCGAATCAATTCGAAACAGGCAGGCGAATTTGTCGAAGAAGAGTGAGGAGTTTTGCTCCGCTTTGGTATCACCGACGATATAGAAGGTTTCCAACACGTCTCCGATGATGTGATGAAGTCGACAGAATGAAATGTAAAAGTTGACTTTGGAGGGCAGAGCCGTGTTTGCAGTGTCGGGGGGCAGCATCAAGGAGTTCAATCCTTGTTTTGCAACCGATTGAGGGATTTTGAGGGCACAACCGAAAGTCATGGAACATATTCTGTTGGCTTTAGCTTACGCGTTAGACCTAAAGCTCATGTCATACCTGTCAAGAATAACACATCCATTCCAAACCTGACGCGCAAGGTCTCGCTCTTTCGGATTTTCCATAGCCTCTGTTGTTCCTGGGATGTGCAACCCCAACTCCTGGGCAATGTGAATTGCCATGCCAATGTTTCGGAAGCATTTCTGGGGGACTTTCTCATGTTGTTGATATACCGCCGTGAGTAACAGTATCTGTATGATTTCGAAATTGTACATTTCCATCACTTCATAGGACATCAATTCTTGAGCTCTGGCGAAGAAGACCGCCGAAGAGTGATCACGGGAGAGAGGGGGTTGGCCCTGAGAGGCAACACAGGATGTGGCAAACATGAGGTTCAGCAAGCAATGCAACACCCTCTCATTCATCGCCGGTTCTCCGTCCTTGACCCATAGAGTCTCGTATGCGCCTTCAATGGCCGGTCGATCGAGCCAAGGGTAAGCGCTGTCGACGTAGTCCCAATATAGATTCAGGAGAGTGTCAGCCACCTTCCGTGGGGGGATGGCATACTGCAGGTCAGATTCTTTCCTGGGGGTTTGTTTCTCTAGATGTGGAAGTTGTTTGAGTGCTCTGGGCAGGACGCGACTGGTGTTTTCTTGTTTGCTCTCGGTATTGACTTCAGGGAGATGTACTCCCCCAGATGCCCCGAAGAGACTACCGCTGGGCACAATTGCACTGTACAAGCTCGCCCGGTCGTCATCATCAGTTGGAGGGTCATTTGGGCGTTCACTGGTATATCTTGACTGTTCGGTGCGGGATATGGTCTTCTCTCGAATACCCTGTGAACTATACAGAATTAAACCACAGAGGAACCCGAACAGGTTTCCATATACTTACATCCCTACTGATGCGGCTTCACCATCACTCTCGCGATAGATACAAGCCTGCGAGTTTCGTCTCCGTCTTGAGCAGGGACCGCATACTAAAGCGATCAGCCATATTCTCACCAGGTCATCAGGGTCCATACTTGGTCTCGCACCGTCACATTTCGTCTTCCTCGCCTTGCAGACATTACATGCAACTCTGATCTTGATGCGTTTCGGCCTTGGTCCTCTCGATATCGACTCTTGTGGGGACTGGCTGGCTTGGAATAAGAACATCATTTTGGCATCACGGAAGGGACACGATCGACTTCCGAGTTTTCCCGCAGAATTCAAGCCTTCCGTGGATGACGTCACTGCATATTCCGCAAATTCCGTTCCCAATTGGGCACTCCGATGCTTTCCTCACGTGACCAATGAAAACATGCCTTAGGAACGAGGCATAAACACAATGAAGGCAGACAGCATTGGCTGGTGCAGTAAATCCACTTCTGCCAGTCAAGGAAAAGGAGAATATACATCAATATGTGCAAAGCCTAATTGACTTGGGCTACTCGTAGCAAAATACTACAGTAAAACGTACGATTGGCATAGTCTAGAGAAAAAGAGACACATCTAGGTAGGAGGTAGTATTCAGATTGCAGGCCACGTATCGCTGCATTAGCTACAGGGTCAAGATAAACCATAGACTAGCTGAGTCACACTTGGCAAGAGGAAAGAGGGGAAATGTCAGGGTCCATTTCTTCTTTAGTCGTTGTGGAATCAAGATGGCTTTTGCTGATCATGCCTATATACTAATGTCTATCGATAGATGTAGAGAACGTGTATGGGGGTTGTGTAGTATGAAGATGGCCACGCTAAACAATATCCACCACTAAAATGACTTCAATTTCCACAATGTCTGCTGTCTTCAACAAGCACCGATCCCGCTGATATATCTATCTTTCCACCAATAGCAAAACCTGTCATTTAAGGCTTACTGTCAACAAACTACCCCGAAATGAGTATATCTCTATCCACCCCAACCCCCTGGTATATAACTCACACCCCATGGGGTGAAGTTCCAATGTTATCTCTAAAGTATTGCCAAGAGATTATGTATGTGTGGGGGGACGTAAAAATCACCCTGTCAGATCAGACAAGGACAAGCCCCGGAAGGCTGTAAACGCAAGTCAGCCTCACCCCCATGATCCTTCATGAATAGTGTTGGTTCATTCTTGGTTCGTATTGGCCGATCGATCTCTGAAGATCCTGTAGTTCTGGCCGTGCATGTAAGCGCTAACGGTGAGATCACTCTCACGTGGTACCAGGACTAGTGCTTACCCCTCTTTTCCATCTTTGTATCTTCATTGTTTTGGTTTTGTTTTCTTTGATGGTTTCATTGTGTTGAATTCAAGGTAGAGAGAATATAAAGAGGAATAACCACCGACTAAAACTAGGAGGCTAGCCATCTACCGAGAGAAATTTAAGTACCATGGGCTATAATCGACTCCTACTAATCGTGATGACAGGAGTAAAGGTCTCTGAGACAGTTCACAACGGAGGGAGGAGTAACAGTCAGGGGAAATCGACTTATTGCTAGATTTATATCAACCCGGAAATTGATATTAACCCAAAACACCATTGATCTACTAGTATGCACTACAGTTTCAAGAAGTGCTCCAAGTCCTAACATGCATTCACGCGAGCAGGAATAAATGCGCGAGTGCAAAATAATACTGGGAACTAATGGTACTTGGTGTCTTTAATTCGCCGTCGTATCTCTTTGAGTTGCCCGCGCAACCGTCCATGTCGATGTTGCATGGCATCGATCATGGACCGGGCTGTTTCCACACACAGGCTCACTTCCGCATCTGCCATTAAAGGGTCTTTCTGGAGTACTGAACAACGCGGCGAGGGTAGCGTAGAGCGATTTGTCGTTGATGATGGTTCGGGAATCGACTTTCCCGCCTGCTCGTCGGGAAGAAGAGGGCGAAACGCACCATCAAGCTGGTCCAGTAGATGGTCTAGGAGCTCCACGATCAGTAGTGCCTGGGTGCTCTGTGGAGGAGGGATAATGCGACCGCGGTAAGTCTCCGTCGTGAACGAGTCTGGTGAATGCCGCGGATGAGGCGGGATGTGATGAGGAAGCAGCGGAGACGAGTGGGTATGTGTTATGGAGTTTATCGGTGTTGGGCCTAAGAGATGATGTGAAACTGATAGGGTGACGTTCTCAAATGCAGCCATGAGACGCTGGTGGCAGGCTAGGACCATCAGAACGAGCCCGGCGTCCAACGATGAAGGCGACCTCCAGAAAGGGATATCATTAAAATGATGTGACCAGGCCGACCAGGAGCACTGGCCGTCATCCCATAATGGGGGAAGCCCAGCTGTCGGGGCCCAGAAGGGCGTGCGTGAGGTGGCCAGGCAGGAGGGCAGGTTGGGAATGCGTCGAATTAGGGCAAACGCCGCATCACAGAGTTCCTGGATGGCGGGAGATGAGACGGACAGAGGATGGATTCCCGAGAGGTTTGGGGCAGTGAAGACATGCGCAGACCGATGGATACGACGGGCGAGCTCTCCTAGTTCCATCAGCTCGTTGTCAACGGGGTCGATGCTGCTGGTGGTGGTGGTGGGAGTTGGGGTGGTGGTTGGGTCCTCCGTGACATGCTCCCGGGGTAGGGCTTGCACCGGCGCCAGTAAGGGGATAGGGTCCTCTTCAAAGGCTAGCTCGGAATCTAGTCCGGAGAAGAAGAGGGATGGAGAGAAGGGTTCCTCATCTGGATGGGTGCTAGGAGCCGGCAGGTCAGAGTCTGGCACGGTGGTTGAGGGCCGCGAACGCTTGCATGCAGGAGGCCGGCCAGCTCGCAGCTGAGGACTGTATAGGCAGATAGCACCCGCCTTTCTGCATCGAACGCAGGAGGTAGTGCCTTCCTCAGAAAGGGTTAAGTCGCGAATGCAGCGCACCTTTTGCTCGTGGCAACGATCGCACGATCGCCGTAGCGACAGATCCAGCGGGCTACTCATGGGGTTGGTGATGGATGTTCTTACTGTGACGACCCCGAACTATTCAATAGACCGGTGGCCAGCAACTGATATAGGAATCTCACTCACGGTCAGTGGTAAATCCATCATACATGACACCGCGATGCTTACAGCCAGCCAAGGTCGCTAACAGCGATGTTATGCATGTCAGCTTCTCATGCATGAGGATGAGAAATCCAGCCCAGTCACCCTTGTTGGAGGCTAACTCACTCGGGCAATATGCATGCACGGCTGCATGCAGATGATTGGGCCTATGCGGCGAGATGGATGAGAAATGCCGGATTGTACAGGGATCTGCAGATTCTGCGGCCGAAAGATAAAAAATAAGGGCTATTGCAACCCCTGTCAGACTAGAAACTCGCCTATTCCTGCCCCCCCTCTCTCTCTCCCCTCTTCCTTCTCCCCTCTTCTCTCCCCTCCCCTCCCGTCTTGACCGTCATCCCCCAACATGCAGAATCTCTCAAAACAAGACAAAAAGCGTGCCCAGGACCGAGCTGCCCAGCGAGCATCCAGGTCCCGTACCAAAGACCGGGTGGCTCGCCTGGAGCTTCAAATCGCTCAGCTCCAGGGGGGTGCCGACCAGGCCCTACTGGAGCAAGTGAATAACATGCGCCAGGAACGTTCGCAACTCCGGACCTTGGCGGATCAGCTGCTGAACATTGCCGGGGCTGTGCATACCACGCTGGTCTCCAAGGATGATGCGCCTTCGTCGGGGCCATCCGCCCGGACAAGCCTCCTGGGGGACATTGTTCGAGACTACGAGGCCCTCAAGACCACTCACCCCGCACCAATCATGCCGCTAACTGATCCTCATCCCATCCTGGTCGGTGTTCTGAACGGCTGGAACGCCCCAGTGGCTGACCAGGAGGAGCCGGTCCATCGCCTCATGGCCCATTTGCATCGTAATCTCATGCTCGAGCGGCCTCTGGTCCGGCCCATTGACCAACTTGCCATTCTCTACTTGATGCAGATGTCTCTTCTAGTAAGTGTCCTCCCTCCCGCCGATCGCGTTGTCCCATCTCATTGGTTTCATCGCTTAGATCCTGCTTGCTCAACACGATACATACCGAGTGTATCTGGGCCACATCCCTGGCTGGTTGTATCCCATGTAGGAAGCGCTCCACCCGCCCATCAGCCCTTGCGGGCCTGGCCACTGACACTTGCAGACCGGCGCAAACAGCCATCCCGCATAACGTCACCATCGACATGCTTCCATGGTGGGTTGCCCCTACTGCTGTGATCCAACCACTCCGAAGGAACCCTAACCGACCATGCCCAGGCCCCAGTTACGCAGGCATCTCCTCTCGCAGCCGGACGTCGTCAACTACAACACCCAGCCGTGCAACGACTTTGCCACGCTGACCCTGCGTAGCGTGGTTTTCGTGCCCGAATTGAACTTCGAAGATGCCTACATCGTCGGCCCCGACCACCGGCTAACCCTAACTCCGCGATTCAGGCAACTGTTTGCTCCAACCGCCCCCGTGTCGCCTTTTGCCGTCAGCCCGGACTTTGTCGCCCAGTATCCGACTCTGCGTGGCCTCGTTCCGGAATGGCAACCCCCTGATCGCCGGTCCCACCGGTCTCGACCTGAGATTCCCCAACGTCTCATCGCGCTGCCGAGTCTTTCGCCTTCCACTGACTCAGGTGCCTGCAACGACCGCCAGACACCCGACCAGCAAAATGATGACCTACGGGATACCCAGGCTGGCTCGTCCTTGACTCCGTATGCCGACCTATCGACTTCAGGGGTGGGCGATCTGACATTTCCATCCTCAATCTCCGTCCCACCCGCCTCTCCCACGCACAGTGTGTTCGCGGGTGAGCCCATGGGGAACTGGTATGAAGCTCTGGGATTCTTGGCGGAAACCGACTCTGTTCCCGCGTGGCTGCTAGAACCTGTTGGCGAAAAGGCTGATGAATTGTGATGCAATCTCATCGGGGTGATTCCTTCCAGCCACGATCAATTGTTTATTTCCTCTAAAATACATGCCCCCACCTACGTTCCTCCCATGATTTTTCAACTAGATCCTGTCAGATCTGATTACTAAGCACTTAGGGCCGGACTACCGTATGCGAGCCCGCCAGTAGTAGTTCAAGAGAGTCCCCCCTCCCCCATATCCAAGCCAATCGAACCAACAGCTGCACCATCATCACGCTGCATGGTTATGACCCACACCACGTCCACGTGTCAAAGCCCCAATCAAAAAACAAATCCCGGCCGGGAGATCAGCAATCAGACCACGCCTGACATTCAGCCGAAGCCACGCGGCGAGGAGAGTAACCGGATCCCCATTCGGCAGCTGCGGCTGAGCCGGGCTTCTCCGGATGGTATCCAGGAGCGTCTTTGCGCGTCGACCCCACCACATGTGGGCGATGCTGAAAAACAGCCCCGCTGCGTGCCATCTCCACGCATGCCTTCGCTGGGGCCCGTGCATGCGGAGCAAATTGACCATGGTCGTTATCCACGTCAAGGGGTAGAGAGTTAGGATCACGCTGAAGCCGGCCGGGAACCACCGGGCGATGTAAGATGGGAGGATCTCGTTGACGGCGAGTGGGTCGAGGTGGGTGAATGGACGGAGGTAGAGGTCCTCGCACAGCGTGAACATGAGTGTTCCGGTGGTGGTGAGGAGTGGAGTGTAGTGGAGGAGGAGTTGTAGTTGCTGGGTTGAAATGGACATGGTTGGTTTGCTTGTATGCGATGTGATGTGATGAGATGAGGTAGGAATAGATAAGACACAAGCCCTAACTTCTTTTTCTGCCTTCCCAAGATCCTTCCTCCCCCCATTTTACTTTCCTACTACTATATATAACATCCAGCCTTGTCACTGCAATTCGCTCCTCGGATGATTTCCCTAGATACAAATCCCCCGACACTAACACCCCCCTCCCCCCGGACCGGTCCGTAGCAGACATCCCCCAACCCACAACTCACAACTTACTACTCCTAGTCCCAGATCTCATCGCCTCCCCCACCACCTCCCCATCCCGAATATACACCGTCTCCCACCCCACCATAGTAACCACGTTGTGCACATCCGCCCAGGCCTCCTCCCGCGCATTGACCTCTTCTCTCCACTCCGGATCACTCAGCAACGCGCGCATATCATCCGGCGACCGCACGTAATAGGAGATGACGGCGTCGAAGTCGGCCATTTTCCATCCGGGCTTGTGGGCGAGATCGGGGAGGAAGATTTCTTGCGCGGATGACGGGGTGAGGTACTGCAGCCAGGACCAGATTAGTGGGAGGGCGAAATGGAGATACGGGGGGCAAGGGGGGGGGCAAACCTGGGTGTAATGAACCACGTTATGTTTCTGGATGATTCGAGCCGCTCGTTGGATGTGATCCTCTTGGATCCATCGCATAAAATCGGCCTCGGATACCCCGGGTTTACGGTAATGGAGGACGGTGATTTTGAGGAGCGGTTGGGGTTGGGGCTGCGGGTTGGTTGATGACATGGCTGAGCGGGGCGGAGGGGGCAGAAAAGTTAGGGCGTAGGATTGGAGTTGGAGAGGGTATTGCGGTGGGAATGAAACACCGGCTTTATGCATTTTTGTTTGATTGATTGGGGCTGGTCGGTGCATTTCATGGCCATTCCCACCGACAGGATTCATAACCCTGCAATTGCAATCCACCGATCTCCGTCCAATTAATTCTCCGCTGCCGCCGATGCCGCAAGCAGGAGTAGGACCAACTGGCCAGTCAGTCTCCTGGCTGTAAGCATGCAACGAAATTCACACTCGATTCATTCTCAATCATAAACGCTGCCTAACTAAACTACCGCCGATCGACCGATCGATCGATCCATGCCAAACACGTGGTCCAACCACCCAAACACCTTCGCGTGGAGATGCGACAACCCCCCAACCTTGGCCTGTAACCCTCCCTGGCCCACTCCCTCGGGCAGCCAGAGATCCGTACTGGCGTCCGATCGACGCCTGAGCACCTCGTAAATGGGAACCGCGCTGCTCTCCGGCGGGAAGTACATGGACTCGCGCGCCCCAGTCACCAGCACCGGACACTCAATGTGCTCCAACGGCGACCCTGTCCCCGACACAGGATGCAGCGTGTATCGAGTGAACTCGCGCACCAGCACCGCCGGGGAATCAATCCCTAGTGCGCGCATTCCATGTCCAAACTCCCAGCGGGTCTGGAAATTGAGTGTCGCGAGCATACGGAACAGCCCATTGAAAAGTCGATCGGACAAGTAGCCGTGCTCAATGGCACTCATGAGCCACGCGGGCATCCGGGCCCGTAACGGGGTCGCCAGGTCGTAGAAGGGGTCCACGGCAATGCAGGCTTTTACGCGGGGGTCTGTCGCTCCGCGGAGAGCGAAGTAGCCTCCCATGGAGGCCCCGAACAAGGCCAGTCGCGAGAGATCCAGATTCCATTCCGGGTGTGCGGCGCTGGTGGCGAACAGCCAGTCCAGGACGGCCTTGATTACAACCTCCCAGTCTGGACGGAGGTACAGGTGATGTTCGTCTCGGTGCAGCATGATGCCCTGCCCGGGTCCTTCGAAGGAGAGTGTCGCGTATCCCCGCGTTCGGGCCCCCGACGCGGCGTAGTAGTATAGTTCTTCCTGGATGGAGTCGAATCCCCCGGTGGTGAAGACCACGGGGACTCCCGTAGACGCATCTGTGATGGAAGATTGCACAGGCAGGAAAAGGTAGCCCGGGAGATGGTGGGTGGTGCCGGCATGCTGGTACGGAATGTCGACGAATTCAACGGGACTGTCCATCAGCTGGCAGGCATGTCGGAAGCTCCGAATTGCGTGGTTAAGGCTGCTGCTCGAACGCGTATCGGGGATGGACCGGGGAAGGTGATGCAACATGAATTCGCTGGATCGGTGGTAGTTGGAGGCCCTCAAATAGGCCCAAACGGCCGTCTGACGGTCGCCGGATCGACGGGCTTCTTCTCCCATTGCTTCAGCTTTCTCCGCTGCTCTTGACCAGGCATGATGCCAACTGTCGGGGTCGTTGTCCTGGATCTGTGAAGCAGCGTCCATGCACTCGGCCACGTCGGCCCCCTGCAATGGAGCTGTCCCCAGGACGCGCAGAAACTCGAAGTTGAAGAATTTCGAGGAGAACTTCATGGTGGATGGATGGAGGATGGGAATACCGTTTGGGAGGTAACGTAGGCGAGGGATGTGAAGGATGAAGACATACTGTGATGGGAATCTATATCAAATTTGAACTAGTGAACCGCAGAAATGCACCGATGGCGTTGTCTTGCTGACCCGAGTCCAGTTATCCACCGATATACTTCCTCAATCGCACCGGCCCGGTCAAATTACCAGACATATGGCGAATGCCGTCGGAGGTGGACACCAGCTGCAGTTACCATCGCTCTAAGTGTGCTCTACAAGAGTGTGCTGGTCAATGTAGAGTAGTTCTGCAGTACAGGGATTTCGATGATGATAGCAAATCTATAGCACACGCAGATCACGCAAGCGGATAAGCCAGCTTCTTTCCTCGCACTTGACCCTTCCGCAACTCCTCGATCCCTCTCTCGATGGCCCCCAGTCCGCCGTGGCGGATCTCTATCGGATGCGGTTGCAACCGGCCCTCATGCAAAAGGCCCTCCACGAGGGGAAACAGCTTGGCTGCGAAATCTCGGTCCTGGGGGCGGGCAGGTCGACCATAAACCCCGTCAAGTTTGACGGGTTCCCCAAACAGCGAGTAAATCATCAGCCACTCGGCCTTGATATCCCGGCGGGTGTATTGGATATGCGTAGGGAATGGGTCCAGAGCAATATAGTGGCCGCCAGCCGACCCGATGGCCTCGTAGCACAGCGTCATAGAGGCCGCCTCGGTAACGCAGTCCAAGACATGCTCGAGCGTATTGTTGGTGTAGTTTCGGATCTCCGTGGCACACGTCGCGGACTGGTAGTCAAAGGCTTCTTCTGCCCCGAGGGACAGGACCAACTCTCGGTGGTTAGGGGAACACGTCACGATGGGTGTGAGACCCGAGCTGTCAAAGGTCAGTTATATACTTGGGAACTCGAGGAGCGGTTGAAAGGCTATGCAAGGAGACTCACGCTTTCAGCAACTGAATAGCCACCGTTCCGGTAGCCGTGGCACCCCCGGAAATCAACACGTAGTGTGGCTGCTTTGCAGGAGAGTCGGGCATTGGAAGTCTCAACGCGTGATAGAGAGCGGTGCCCGCTGTGCCAATGGCGAGTCCCAGACTGGCTGCTTCTTCCCATGAAATTCCCATGGGGACTTTGCACGCAAGATCCGCAGTGGCCAGAGCATAACGTCCAAAAGCCCCCGTGTGCTTACCATTGGGATTCAAGCCGAAAGTCATGGCAAACACGCGGTCCCCTTTGTGAAATCGAGTCACTTCCTCCCCAACCTCAATGACCTCGCCGGCAAAGTCATTCCCTCCGACAGCACCAGGGGTGGCGGAGAAGTCCACCATCTTCCAGTCGGCGGGGTTCAAAGCAACCGCAACCACACGGCAGAGGATGGTGTCTGGCTTCACGGTAGGAACGGGGACATCCTGCGACAGCAGGTATCGGCCCATTCCTGAGGCAACTAGGGCTTCTTGTTTCTTGTTGTCCATTGGGGAGTCCGTTGAGCGGAGGGTTGGTGTGCTCAACAGCTCTTGGAGAACACTGCCTCATCCGAATAAGTAGTCTAGGATAGGCAGCTGCAGTGCCGGGACAAATGGCAGCCGCATGCAGAGCTGAATGCGCCGACTAGTGTCGGGGTGAGTCGGATCATCCAGATCCCATCGGGGGATTCTCGGAGGGTTGATCCCCGGTCCAAGTGAGTCACCGAACAGCCTCATCAGGATATGAAGGAGAGATCTGGATAGAGTGAGCTTTCGATCTCAAGCATCCAGTCATTGTCCATTCTCCGTTTCTCTTGGACTCCACTGCACCACCCGTGATGAATGCTCTGACCGATTATCAGACGGAACCCATTGCCATTGTGGGAAGCAGCTGTCGGTTTCCCGGCGGCGCCAGCTCTCCATCCAAGCTCTGGGACTTGCTCCAAGACCCCTACGATCTCCTGCGGGAGATTCCTCCATCCCGATTCAACCCCAAAGGCTTCTATCACCCCAACGGCGAATACCATGGCAGCACCAATGTCATGCAATCGTACCTCCTGGAGGAAGACCCTTGCTTGTTCGATCACCGCTTCTTCAACATTCATCCGAAGGAGGCCGAGTCCATGGACCCCCAGCAGCGGTTACTGCTGGAAACCGTGTATGAGGGCATCGAGGCAGCAGGTTACTCCATGCAGCGTTTGAAGGCATCCTCCACGGCGGTCTTTGTGGGCCAGATGACCGCGGATTACCACGATGTCCTGCTCCGAGACGTGGACAGCACCCCCCAATACCTTGCCACTGGTACCTCCCGAAGTATCATGGCCAACCGAGTGTCCTACTTTTTCGACTGGCGAGGGCCGTCAGTCACCATCGACACCGCATGTTCCTCGAGCCTCGTGGCCCTTCACCAGGCCGTCCAGAGCCTGCGATCCGGGGAATCATCCCTCGCCGTTGCTGCCGGTGTCAACCTGATCCTGGGTCCCGAATTGTACATCTTCGAATCGAAACTACATATGTTGTCTCCCACAGGACGATCCCGAATGTGGGATGCGCAAGCCGACGGATATGCGCGAGGAGAGGGGGTGGCCTCGGTGATCCTGAAGCCCCTACGACAGGCCATTGCAGATCATGATCGGATCGAATGTATTATTCGCGAGACGGGCGTCAACCAGGACGGACGCACCCCCGGCATCACAATGCCCAACGCTGCGGCCCAGACCCAGCTGATCCGCTCGACCTACGAGCGATGCGGCCTGGACTGTACCAAGCCCGAGGGCCGCTGTCAATATTTCGAGGCCCACGGGACTGGAACCCTAGCAGGCGACCCCGTCGAAGCCAAAGCCATTCGCGACGTCTTTTTCCCAGTCGACACGGCCGGGGCGTCCGAGCAGGAAGAGTCCCTGTATGTAGGGTCTGTCAAAACTGTCATCGGTCACCTCGAAGGCACGGCAGGACTGGCGGGAATTCTCAAGGCGTCCCTAGCCCTGCGGCACGGTGTGATACCGGCGAACATGCACTTCCAACGGCTGAACCCGGCCATCGAGCCCTATTATCAACACTTGGTGGTACCCACCGAAAATCAAGCATGGCCAGCTGTGCCTGGCGGAGGTCCGAGGCGAGCCAGCGTCAACAGCTTCGGCTTTGGAGGGACCAATGCACATGCCATCCTCGAGAGTTGGGAGGAACCGGACCCCCAGCTCCGAGCAACCCCCACGGCATGTGGTCCACTGACTGTATCGGCGCACTCCGAGCGGGCTCTGGAGGTGGCCGTCTCGTCGTTAGCTCAGACATTGCAGCGGCAGACTTTGGAGGACTTTTCCGACCTCCTCTGGACTCTCCAGACCCGGCGTACAGAATTCCCTTACAAGGCCAGTTTTTCCGGCTCAAGTCCCGACCAGCTCGTCCAGCGACTGCTTGATACAGGCCCCGGAGCCATTCGAGCCATCAGTGTGACAGATCAGCGACCTGTCCGGATTCTCGGAATCTTCACTGGACAAGGGGCACAATGGCCGGCGATGGGTGCCAGTCTGTATGCACGGTCCAGGCAGTTCCAGGAGTGTATTCAGGCGCTGGACGCCTCCCTTGCCTGTCTTCCAGACTCGCCCGACTGGACCCTGGCTTCTCAACTGCAACCTACGGCTGATCCTTCCCGGGTACATGAGGCAGCCATCTCACAGCCCCTGTGCACGGCTCTTCAGATCGGCCTCGTGGACCTTCTTCAATCCTCGGGGATCACATTCGGTGCCGTGCTCGGCCATTCGTCCGGCGAAATTGCTGCCGCCTATGCCGCAGGCCGCCTCACTGCAGATGATGCCATTCGGATCGCGTACTATCGTGGAGTTCATGCCCACCTGGCGTGCGGCCCAGATGGACAAGCCGGCCGAATGATGGCTGTGGGTATGAACCTGTCCGACGCGCAATCGTTTTGTCAAAACGAACCACTGCAGGGTAGGATCTCAGTAGCTGCCAGCAATTCTCGGTCCAGTGTGACATTGTCCGGCGATGCGGACGCAATTGACGTTGCAAAACACCTCCTAGATGACGAGAAGCAATTTGCACGCGTGCTCAAGGTCAACACCGCTTATCACTCCCACCACATGGAACGCTGTGCCACGCCATACCTGGAATCACTGCGCCGCTGTAACATTCAGGTCAAACCTGGTCGGGAGGAATGCCACTGGTTTTCCAGTGTGCATGGGCGCGATGGACGCAGCATCGACGACTCGGACAATCTTTGGGGGCCATACTGGGTGAACAACATGGTTCAGACGGTTCTTTTCTCCCAGGCCCTGGAGCGTGCTATTACCGAGGAGCACTGCTTTGATCTGGTCCTCGAACTGGGACCGCATCCTGCCCTCAAGGGACCAGCCACGGAAACCATCAAGACCCTTACCGGTGTCGACTTGCCATACACTGGCCTGCTCAAGCGAGGGGACGACGATTTTCTCATCTTCTCTGACGCCCTAGGTTTCATCTGGAAACACTTTCTCTCCACTCGACCGGTGGTAGACTTTGCCGGATTCCGTGCTGCGTGTGTTGGCCGTGAAGCCCCGGTACCCTCGGTGTCTAGGGATCTACCAAGCTATGCTTGGGACCACCAGCAACCGCTGTGGAAAGAGTCATGGAAATCGCGCGAGTACCGCACTCGTGCACGCCCGATTCATGAGCTTCTGGGGACGGTCAGGACACACGGCGATCGACAGGAGATGCGCTGGCGCCATGTCATGAGACTCCAGGAGATGGACTGGCTCCGGGGCCACGAGTTCCAAGGCCAGGTCTTATTCCCCGCGGCAGGATACGTATCCATGGCGTACGAGGCCTGTATGCATCTGGCGGGCGAGTCGTCAGTGCAACTGGTGGAGCTGATGGATCTCCGCATCCAGCGGGCAATCACCCTGGAGGAGGATTCCAGCGGCGTGGATGTCTCATTCGTCATTCGCCGCGTTGCTAGGAGCGACCATTCACTCACAGCCGAATATACCTGCTACAGTTGCGGAGTCGACGGCAGCGTGACCGAGGCCGAAAAAACCAACTTCTCTGGTCGCGCCATCATCACCCTCGGCAGCCCTAATCCCGCGTCCTTGCCCCCACGATGTCCTCCTCAACTCCCGTTGACTTCCCTGAAGCCGGCCCGACTGTATGCCTCCTTGCAGGACATCGGCCTCCGTTATTCAGGTCTTTTCCTCGTGGACTCCGTTCGCCGCCGACTCAACGTGGCTACCGTCACCATGCCACGCCAACAGGCCTCCCCCTGGAGGGTTCATCCCGCCACGTTGGACGCCGCGTTCCATGGGTTGTTCGCCGCATTCTGCGCTCCCGGAGACAGTCGTTTGTGGACGTATTACCTGCCCACCAGTATCGAGAGGGTGGTGATAGGAACGCCGTGCGAGCGCGTCTCCCGACACGAATCCTCAGGGTTGCTGGTAGCGGACTGCCACTTGCGATCTGCCTCAGCTAAGATCATCTGCGGCGATGTCGATATCTTCTGCGAGGCAGACGATCATCCAGAGATCCAGGTACAGGCCATTACGTGCTCTTCCTTCGCGAACGTATCCCCCCAGGACGATAGGCTTCTCTTCTCCCATACCGTTTGGCAACCGGACATATCCACCGCCGTGCTGTCTGTCGGCCATACGGAGGCGTCCCCGCGCGAGCATGCGCTGGTCGACCTCTGTGAGCGAGCCTCGTACTTTTATTTGCGTCAGCTGCGACAGACAATCGCGCCAGAGGAGATCCCGGCTATGGAATGGCAGTTCCGGTGCCTGATGGATTGGACACGCGATCATCTGCTCCCGATGGTAGAGTCTGGCCGTCACTCTCGAGTGCGCCCCGAGTGGGCGAGCGATACACGGGCTGATATCATGGCCTGGACGCGCACGCACCCAGGGCAAATTGACCTAGAGATCATCGTTGCCGTCGGAGAGGCTCTCCCCGCCATCGTCCGTGGAAAGGTTCCCATCCTACAGGTGATGATGGAGAATGACATGCTTAATCGACTCTACAAATTCGGTCTCGGGTTCGACCTCGCCAACGAGCGTCTCCGGACTATGGTATCGCAAATCTCCCATCGATACCCCCGGCTTCATGCGCTCGAGATCGGTGCCGGTACGGGTGGAGCCACAGTCAATGTCTTGCAGGGGCTGTCCAGCCAGTTCCTGTCGTACACATACACTGATATCTCGCCGGGGTTCTTCGAAAAGGCCCAGTCTATGTTCCATGAGCACCGCGGAAAGATGCGATTCAAGACGCTAGATATTGAGCGAGATCCCGAGCCCCAGGGCTTTCCCCCGCATTCCTTCGACGTGGTGATCGCCTCCAACGTCCTCCATGCGACCAAGAGTCTGGCAGACACGATGCGTCATTGCCGCCAGCTACTCAAGCCCGGCGGATACCTCCTCCTTTTGGAGATCACGAGCAACACGTTGCGCCCCCAGTTCGTCATGTCGGGCTTGCCGGGCTGGTGGTTAGGGCGTGCCGATGGCCGGCCCTGCCATCCAACCATCACGGAGGCGCAATGGAATGTCTTGCTGGAGGAAAGCGGATTCTCGGGCATTGATACCGTGTGTCGGGACTTTGATGACCCCGACAAGTACATGTGCTCGGTGATGAGCACGCAGGCCGTCGACCACCGGATCAGTGCTCTTCGTCTCCCTCTGGCGTATCCGGATACCATTCCTCGCATCGGTCACCTCCTGGTGGTGGGTGGCCAGGGGACACTGGAATTGACTCGCATCGTCCAACGCCTGCGAGGCATTCTCCGCCCTTTTGCTGAGCATATAACTGCAGTTGCAGAGTTAAACACTGTGAGCGCCTCCAACGTTCCACCGGACAGCGCGGTCCTCTGTCTGGCGGAGCTGGACCAGCCCACCTTCCGCGACATGACAGAGGCCCGGTTCCAGGGCATGCAGACGTTGTTTGTCCAGGCCAAGTATCTTCTGTGGATTACGCACGGCACTCGAGCAGACAACCCATGGGCCAACATGCTCGTGGGCATGGGACGTTCCGTGCTTCTGGAGTCACCCCACGTGTGTCTGCAGTTCCTCGACCATGATGCACCGCACGCGCATCCCTTCCAGTCTGCCATGTTGTATGCCGAGACGCTGCTCCGGATGGTGGCTCTGGATCAGGACGGATTCAAGGATATCCTCTGGAGTAACGAACATGAGGTCGTGCTGGAGGAGGGCGCCACGCTGATTCCCCGCATCCTTCCAGATGAAGCCCTCAACAACCGTCTCAATGCAGACCGTCGGCTCATCACCCAGAATGTCTCCGCAAGGACGACGACTCTCGAGCTGATTCCCACTGAACCCAATTCATTCGCCCTGCACGAGGTTCCGGGCCCGGCAGTATCTGTGAACCCTGACCTCGTGGACATTCAGGTCCAGTACTCAGCCCTGATGCCCTTTCTCACCCAGGAACAGTGCCCGGCTGTGGTCAGTGTCGGGACGCTGGTTGCCTCAAACCGTGCCGTGCTGACCTTGTCGGGGTCTAATCGCTCCCGGCTGCGCGTGCCGAAGGCCGATGTCTTTCCCTTGGGGGGACCGTCGCCGGATGATGGGATGCTGCAGTATCTGATGCGACAATTGCTGGCGGAGGTGATCCTGGAGGGTGAATCCAGTACAGATGGCACCATCTGGGTGCACGGTGCAGATGACTACCTCGCACCTGTCCTCGAAGCGACAGCCAGGACAAGAGGTATCCCCGTGTTCATGAGCACCTTGTCACCGGATGTCGCGCAGCAGACCTACATTCACCCCTACAGCACGGAGCGGGATATCGGCCGGATCAAACCCACCCGAATCCAAACCCTAGTCCATCTCGATAGCAAACGTTACCCTGCTCTCGATGTTCACCTGCGCCGGGTGGCACACAATGATGGGGCTAAAGTGCGAGAGATCCCGGTCTATCGCAATAACACTCCGCTTGCTATACCAATGGACTGGGTCACACTACGTGCTTTCGCCAGCCAGTTCTGTCAAAGCCCTGATCTAAAGCTTGATGTCCCAGCAATCGGCTTTCCCGGCCCAGTGCCGGTGCCAACCCTAGTCCAGGATGCTGGTGAATGGGCCGGTCTACAGGTCATTGACTGGACAGGACCTTCCACACTACCAGTGCCGGTCCAGCCCCTGGACGCACGGGGTCTCTTTGCGGATAACAAGACGTATTTCCTCGTCGGTCTAACGGGGGAATTGGGACTGTCTCTATGTCACTGGATGGCCCAGCACGGGGCTCGGTACCTGGCGATAGCCAGTCGGAATCCACAAGTCGATTCGATGGAAATCTCCAGTTTAGAGCGCGCCGGGGTCCAAGTCCGCGTGTTCTCTCTGGATATCACCGACAAGGCCAGCCTGCGCGGCGTCTACGAGGACATTCGCGCCACCATGCCCCCGATTGCGGGCGTGGCCAATGCTGCCATGGTGCTCCGGGATCGGTCGTTTGACAATATGACCTGGACGGACTTTGAGGTTGTGCTGCGGCCCAAGGTCCAGGGCAGCCAGAACCTGGACGAGCTCTTCTCCGACACTCCCCTGGACTTCTTCGTCCTCTTCTCCTCTCTGGCCTGCGTCATTGGCAACCGCGGCCAGGCCAACTACGGAGCCGCCAACATGTTCATGGCTACTCTCGCTGCTCAGCGGCGCAATCGCGGCCTCGCGGCCTCGATCCTGGACATTGGCATGCTTCTGGGCGTGGGCTATGTGGCCCGCACGGGGGAACAGTACGAAACTCAGTTGAAGCGCTATCGCTACATGTCCTTGTCCGAGCCGGACTTCCACCACATGTTCGCCGAGGCTGTTCGCGCTGGACACCCCGACTCAGACCATCCTCCCGGCTTGATTACAGGGCTGGAACGGACCAATTTGTCGCGGGAGGAGGCAACTGCCCCATGGCATCGGAACCCTCGGTTTGCGCATTATACCTACGATGACGCGGAGGAGTCCAGAAACGGACAAGGGGGGCCTGCTGGCGAGTCCCGCGCGCAAAGCTCCTCCGCTCAGAGCCTGCGGACCCAGTTGGCTCTCGACGTGGATCACGATCAGGCGCTCGGCATCCTGGAGGCTGGGTTTTCAAGAAAGCTTCAACTTATCCTGCAGGTTTCCGACGACAGCATCGATCGCGTGCGGCCCTTAATGGACCTGGGGATTGACTCCCTCGTGGCCGTGGAGATTCGCTCGTGGTTCCTCAAGGAGCTGGCTGTCGACATTCCTGTGCTTCGCGTTTTGGGTGGTGCCTCCCTGTCGGATCTGTGTAAGGATGTCCTGGCCAAGCTGCCCGATTGGAATCAGGCTCAGGCCGCATTGTCTCCAGCCCACGCCTTGTCCGCTGGTTCGGGGACGGCATCCAACTCGGACGCTATTGAAACCCCTGCCGAAACTGACTCGGAAACCTCTCGCGACGACGAGCCCGGGGCTTCTCCATACGAGCGGACGGGTGAGTTGACTCATGCTCAGGCCCGGCTCTACTTCCCCAGTGTTTTTCTACAGGATAAATCCACTTATAACGTCGTTTTCGCCGGCACCCTGCACGGTGCCCTGGAGATCGACCGTCTGAAGGCGGCGCTCCACCTCGTTTCCCACACACATGAGACCCTACGCACCTCTTTCTACATCGCCCCCGGCAAGGGTACCGCCACCCAGAGGGTGAACTTGAAGTCGGGGATCGTCTTGAAGCAGAAACACATTTCCGACACGTCCGAGCTGGATGCGGAACTGAAGGCCTTACGAGGGCACGAGTTTGATCTGGAACAGGGCCAATTGATGAAGGTGGTTGTGCTGACCTCGCCGGACTCGGTGCATCGGATTCTCTTTGGCTACCATCATATTGCCCTCGACGGGGTAAGCTGGCTCCTCTTCTTGCAGAACCTGCACCAGGCATATACTGCACGAAATCTGCCTTCTGCGCCCCAACAGGTGATTGATATGGCTGTCAAGCAACGAAACGAGCGGGTGCCGGCTCGCCTGGGAAGTGAGCTGCGTTACTGGGCTGACCGATATGCCGGTTGCCTGCTGGAGCCCGTACCCTTATTCCCTGGGGCTCGGGTCAGTTCTCGCCAGATCCTCACGGCGTACGACACTGAGACCTTCGATATCCGTCTCGACCATCAGCTGGCTCAGGTGGTCCGCACGAGAAGCTCCCAGCTACAGATGACCTCGTTCCATTTTTACCTGGCTGTTCTGGCGGTCTTGGTCACACAAACCTTGGCCGTGGACGATTTCAGCATCGGCATCATGGACGCTAATCGCGTGGATCCGCTTGATTTGCAGACGCTGGGATTCGTCCTCAATCTCCTACCGATACGCTTTCAGCCCGAACCCCATCAGCCCTTCACCACGCTGGTCCGTCAGACTCGTGACCAGGTGTTAGGTGCATTGGCGAATTCGCGCGTGCCCTTTGATCTCCTCCTGGAGCATCTCCAAGTGCCCCGATCCGCTCAACACAGCCCGCTGTTTCAGGTGGCCTTGAATTATCGCATGGGGGACTCCTATCACACGCCACTTGGCGAGGGTTATATCGAATGGACTCGCGCACTGGGTTCCGGGAATCCGTATGACCTGACTGTCGACGTCACCGAGACTCCCGAGGACGTCACGTTGGTGTCCTTCACCACGCACCGATATCTCTATGGGCCCCGGGAAACCCGCCAGCTAATGCAGTCCTATCAGGCCTTGTTGGAGCAGCTGGTTGCCGACCCGTCGATTCCCATCTCTCAGCCCTCCGTCACCATTGACCCTCCCCGAGCGGTCCATCAGGGTCCCCCGCTGGCAGTTGCCTGGCCCGAGACTCTCGCTCATCGCATCGAGGACATCTGGACCACCCACGCGGAGTCCACCGCCATTATCGACGGGTCTGGGGGGGTGTTGACCTACAAGCAGATGGCACGTCGAGTTATGCAGATATGCCATGCTTTTGAGGAACTGGCCATCCCCCACAACAGCTACGTGGCCATGCTGATGCACCCCGGCCCGGATGTGGTCTGTACTCTGCTAGCCATCATGCGCCTGGGCCATATCTACGTGCCCCTTGACCTCCGCAATCCCCCGGAGCGCTTGAGGGCCATTGTCTCAGATTGTCAGCCAGCGGTGATCATTGTCGACGCGGCGGCCGAGCAGGCCCGTCATCTGGCAAGTAGCAACATCCCCGTCGTCGATGTCACGCAGTTCCAAACGGCTGGTCTTGGTGACACATCGATCCCCAACCGTGCGGTGGGCAGCCAGCCTGCCTTTGCCCTCTACACCAGCGGCTCGACCGGACAGCCAAAGGGTGCGCTGCTGACACATGCCGGCTTCGTCAACCAGATCGCCGCCATCACAAGCCTCTACGACGTGCACCGCGAGGTCGTGCTGCAGCAGAGCTCGCTCGGATTTGACATGTCGCTCGAGCAGATGTTCATCGCTCTAGCCAACGGCGGCACCGTCGTGACCGTCCCGCAAGAGGCCCGCGGAGACCCAGCCCAACTGGCCAAGCTGATGCTCACCCACAGCGTCACCTATACCGAATTCGTACCCTCGGAGTACTTGGCCCTCCTCAACTATGCCGCAGCAACCCTTCGTCGCTGCGTCTCATGGCGACTGGCCTTTTCCGGGGGTGAGAAGATATCTCCTCAGCTACGCCGCGCCTTCAGGCGTCTAGAGCTCCCGGACTTGCAGCTCATCAATGTCTACGGTCCAACAGAGATCACCTTGTCCTGCAGCCGGGGTCTGGTGTCCTACTCTACCGACGGCGAGGATGAAACTTCCGTGGGCCAGATCCTACCCAAATACACAGTTTCCATCTTGGACGCCTCCCTGCAGCCAGTCCCCCCGGGCTCTCCAGGCGAGATCTGCATCGGGGGCATCGGGGTGGCGGTGGGATATCTTAACAAGCCCGGGGAGACAGCCCGTCGCTTTGTGCCCGACCCCCTGGATTCCTTGATGACTGTCTATCGTACCGGAGACCAGGGCCGCATGGCAGAAGACGGGACCCTACACTTCCTGGGTCGTCTGGACGGCGACAGCCAAATTAAGATCCGGGGCATTCGCATCGAGTTGGAGGACATCGCCCAGACTATCCTGGCGCAGGCGTCCACGACCCTCCTCGACGCAGCTGTGTCCGTTCAAGGCACCGCGCAGGCTCTAGTGGCCTTTGTTGTCTTCGTCCCTGACTTTGCCCCGTCAGACCGGACGGCCTACCTCGAGGAGCTTCGTCAGCGCCTGCCTCTTCCCAGCTACATGCGTCCGGCCTGCCTGGTCCCCGTCGACGACCTGCCCCGGAACCCTAACGGGAAGAGGGACCGTCGGGCCATCGACCAACTGCCCATTCCCATTGGGTGGTCTCCAACCCCAGACTCCGGTCTGACTATCCTAGACGAGACGGAACAGCAGGTCAAGAGGGCCTGGGAGGAGGTCCTACCACCGTCATCCACCGCTCATGCCTCGCTCACCATTGGGCTCGATACCGACTTCTTCCAGGCGGGGGGAAACTCACTATTACTTCTGCGTCTCCAGGCCGTACTAGCCACGACCTTTGGCACGTCACTGGGCCTGCCCGAGCTGTTCCAGGCCAGTACCCTCCGCGGCATGGCCCAACGCCTCGCCTCGTCCTCTACCGTCACCAGCACCTCCCTCATCGACTGGGATCGGGAGCTCAACTCTCTCTGCGATGGTCTCCCGAGCACAGTCAGCGCCTATCAACCCACCAGCCGTGACGACCAGCTGATCGTCATCCTCACCGGCGCGACGGGGTTCCTGGGCCGCCACCTGCTGCAGCAACTAGTCGATCATCCCCGCGTGCATCGCGTTCACTGCATCGCCGTCCGCAAGCATGACACCCGCCAATCCCTGTCAGTCCGCAGCCCTAAAATAATCATCCATCCCGGCGATCTCCAGGACCGCGACCTCGGCCTCGCGGCAACCACGCAACGCACCCTCGCCAACACCGCCCATCTGATCATCCACAACGGCGCCGATGTCTCTTTCCTGAAGACATACACCACCCTCCGACCCGCCAATGTCCTATCGGTCCGCTCACTAGTGGAACTTGCCCTCCCGCGGACTATCCCCATCCACTTCATCTCCACGGCCTCGATCGCCCACTTTGTCCCGCACAACGACCTGGACACGCCTCTCGCCGAGACCTCCGTGTCAGAGTATCCCCCGCCGGCGGACAGTCCGGATGGCTACGCCGCGTCCAAGTGGGTCAGCGAAAGCTTCCTGGAACGGGTATGCCAGGACCGAGGACTCCCGGTGTGCATCCATCGACCGACCAGTCTCGTGGGCGTTGGGGCGCCGGCCACCGATCTGATGGCAAATCTGGTGCATTATTCCGGCTTGCTGAAGGCGGTTCCGGCACTGGATGGGGAGACTGTGGGCGGGGCGCTGGACTTGGTGCCGGTGGGGGATGTGGCTGGGGAGATTGTACAGATGGCCGTGGAGTTGGAGTTGGGGTCAGAGGCAGTGTCGACGGTGCGGTTCGTGCATCACTGTAGCGAAGTGAAGATTCCTCCGTTTCGTCTGAGGGAGTATCTGGAAGAGGTACATGGGGGGGTTGTGTTCGAGACACGCCCGCTTGAGGTTTGGATTGAACTGGCTCGCGCGCAGGGATTGTTGCCCCTGGTGGCGGATTATTTGGATAGTATGTTGGGAAGGGGACAGCGGGTGATGCTGCCGGTGGTGAGACGGGGGTGATATGTTGAGTGGTTCTTGTGTATATTTTATTGTGTGGTGGTTTTTGTTCTGTAGGGGTTTGGGTGATAGGGTGTGCATCTGGAGCAGACCAGGATATGTCTAACGTGATGCCTACTTGTTTCAGTTTTATTTATGACCAAACGCTGCTCTTTGTCTACATGTCTAGTCTCAAAGATATACAAGTTCTGAGTTATATAGAAACGATTAGGGTTTGGTAAATTTTGATTCAAGTGAAAATAATAGAAATGTAGGTGTTTATTATTATAGGTCTAAGGATACTTTTATTGGATTAATGACACTTTTAATAGTGGTCTATCAACCATTAATAAGAAAAGAACGATTTAAAGTACGGAGGGTTGCTTCTGTATAGAAGAGGCAGGTGATGCAGACATGATTATAACTCTAGTGCGCAACGTCTGCCCGGAGTGCGAGTTTTTGATCTATATCCCATATGTCGCACTATTATCGCAGCTGCCATGTCCATTGTATCTCCATTGCACTGTCCGATTGACTCGTCTCGGACCATTTTATATCATCCGACCGACCCCCGAAACCCACCGACAATCCACCGACCGTCTCATTCCTATAAAGACAACACACCCATACACATCCCTCATTCCCCCATCATCCACCCATCATGGGAAACATTCTGTCATCCTGTGCCAGAGACCAGGCCAAGAGTCGGGGCTCCGACAACACCACCCCTCCTCCCCCTTCGTGGAAAGCCCTGACTCCCTCGACTCCTGCAACCAGTCAATCTCTTCCCCGTCCCCTCAGCAACGAGAAGAAGCCCCTGGAGGAAACCCTCGCTGACATTCCCATTCCCATTCCCGATCGATACCATTCTGAACCGCACGCAGTCCGCATCATCCATGTCGGGGCGGGTGCGGCCGGCCTGTTTGCAGCCTACAAGGCCGAGCGAATGCTGACCAACTACGAACTGGTCTGCTATGAGAAGAACGCCACCATCGGGGGGACCTGGCTGGAGAATCGCTATCCAGGCTGCGCGTATGCCTTTTTCTTCTTTCCTTCCAGCCCTCATCAATGCTCACTCGTTCTAGCTGTGACGTTCCCTCCCACATTTACAACTACTCCTTCGACCCCAATCCGAACTGGTCTTCCTTCTTCTCCCCCAGCGAGGAGATCCAGGCGTACTTTGTTCGCTTTTACGAGAAGCACCAGTTGCAGAAATATATGCGCTTCAATACTACCGTGCGCGGCATCGTCTGGCACGATGCCAAAGGACAATGTGATCCCCCCCAACCCTCCTGGAAGGCATCATGTCATTAACACAGTTCCATGCAGGGGAGGTCGAATTAGAGCGCAAGGATGGCTCGCGATTCACCGATTGGTGCCATGTTCTAATCAACGGAAGTGGTGTTGTCAACAAATGGAAATGTTGGATCCCTCCCTCCCTCCCTCCCTCGCTCGCTGCCTTCCACTAACCCAACCCAACCCTAACAGACCCCGATATTCCCAACCTCGAGCAATACCGCGGCACCCTCGTACACACAGCCAACTGGGACCCAGACATTCAATGGAAAGGCAAATCCGTCGCGGTGATTGGCTCCGGGGCCAGCGCCGTGCAAGTTCTACCCCAGCTAGTCGATGACGCAGCCTCACTGGTATGCTTCGCGCGTAACCCAACCTGGATCATCCCCAACGTGCTCAACGTCGACCCCGTGCATCCCGCCGGCATGCCCGCCGCTGCCTACGGCAAACATCACTACGTGGCCGAGGAACTGCAGCTCTTCCGCGACAACCCGCAGGCACTGCTCGCCTACCGCAAGCAGCTTGAAAGCTCCATCATTCACCTATTTCCGGGGTTTCTGCGCGGTAGTCCGCTGAATGAGATGCTCAAGCAGCAGATGCGTCAAGTTGTTGAGGCGCAGCTCGGGGGCGAGGGTAATCGGGGCCTCCGGGATGCGTTTCTCCCTACCTGGTCCCCAGGATGTCGGCGCATTACCGTATGTTGATTATTATATTCCACGCCCACGAGGGTTCAGAGTTCAATACTAATCACAGTCACAGCCATCTGACACGTTTTTACAATGTTTCCAAAAACCCCGTATGTCTACCCCTTCCCCCGATAAGAGACACATATCAACCAACCCTAATACTAACGATGCTAGACGTGACCCTCGACCGTAACCACCTCGCCAGCTTCACTGAACAAGGTCTCCGAACAGCAAACGGCACCGAGTACAAGTTCGACATAATTGTCTGTGCCACGGGATTCGACATTCAATTCACGCCCCATTTGTAACCCCACCCCCCATTCCTCCTCTCTCCCTAACCACCCATCTCCTAACCAACCAACTAACCAACCAACCCAGCCCCGTCATCGGCCGCAACAACACCCCCATGCAACACGAATGGCGCGAAACCCCCAACCTGTACCTCAGCATCACGGGCCCCAAATTCCCCAATTACTTTGTGATCAACGGACCCCGCGGGAACTGGAACCAAGGAAGTACCTTACCATCTGTAAGTCCCCCCTTTCCCAGCCCTTACCCCCACACACTTTGCTCCAAGGTCCCCTTCCCACCTAACCTAATCCCTCCCAGCACGAAACCCAAATCAGCTACGCCCTGCAATGCGTGCATAAAATCCAAACCGAGCATCTCCATTCCCTCGAGGTGCGCCAACACCCCACCACCGCTCTCAACCGATGGATTGATGCCTGGCATGCCCAGAAATCCATCTGGGCGGAACCCTGTCGGTCATGGTATAAACGGAATACGGCGGATGGGAGAGTCTATGTGTGGTGTGGGAGCATGCCGCATTTGTTGAAGTCGTTGAAGAGGCCGCGGTGGGAGGATTATCGGATTAGGTATTGGGAGGAGGAGGAGGAGGAGGAAACGGGGCAGGGGAAGGAAGGGAATATGTGGGCGTTTTTGGGCAATGGGACGACGGTCTTGGAGGAGGGGTTTCGGAGGGGGTTGGAGGTGGATGTGGCGCCGTATATTAGGGCTGAGGATTCGGAGTGGGATGTTGAGATGTTGTTACCGCCGGTGGTGGAGGAGGTGGAGGGCGGGTCTGGGTAGGTTGGGTTGCTATATATACTATACTATACTAGTGGTAGCTCTGATGTATAAGGGGATTAGCATATGGAAAGGATGACTATCTAGACAGGAATTCTAGCCTCTTTGGTAATTTTCCCACCTGTAAGACCCACCTACCAAAACATATATCTCTGTTTCAGAGTCTTTAGACATAAAATGTCATTCTACGTATTACCATGAAAGGCATACCCCCAGGGCAATGCAATACCAATATATTAATCAACCCATCTAGTAAACACACACGCACACACATACTCTCTCTGTCTGTAAAGACAAACCCAAAATCAATCACTCCCCTCTTCCACCTCCCTCCTCTTCTCCTCCTGCAACCCAAACTCCGTCTCCAGATGTTCCCGCATCGGCACCTCCTTCAACACAAACGCCACCAAAAACCCCAGAAGAGCAAACGCGAGACCAACATACCACACAATGCGCAGGCTATCCACATACACGCCCACCACAGCGGCCTTGACCCTCGGCTGATCATTCAGGGAGGTTATGAAGGACTTGGTGGCCAGCTCGTATGCACCCCCGTTCGCCAGACGAGCTTGTAAGTCTGGATCTCCGCTCAACCTCGACGGAAGTAACCAATTGACTTGGCTATTAAACACTGCAGACGGAATAGCCACGCCCCAGATGCCGCCCAGACTGCGGAGAAAGGCCCATGTGGCTGTGGCGACGGCAACGTCAGCCTCGGACAGGGGCGCTTGGAGGGCCGGTAGGGTGGTTGTGAGGAGAGTGCCGACGCCTGCGGCGCCGAGGATCTGAAACCCGACCCAGTCACCCTCGGAAGAGGAGGCGTCGAGGAGGGTGAAGAGGCCGCAGGTGATGACGAGGAAGGCGAAGCCGACGAAGTGGAAGGGTCGGTAGCGGTTGATGGTGGAGAGACCGCCGCCGGCGATAATGGCGAATGGGATGCCGGTTACGGCGCTGGGGAGGAGGTCGACGCCGGAACGGATCGGGGAGGCTTCTTTCACGGCTTGGAAGTAGACGGGGAGGAAGTAGGTGATCCAGTAGGTGAGCATGGCGTGGATGAAGGTGAGGCCGAAGGCACCGAGGGAGGTGCGGTTGCCGAAGAGGCGGAGGGGCATGGTTGGTTCGTCGGTGGGGAGGAGAGTCGAGGCTTCTAGGGCCAGGAAGGAGATGAGGCCGAGGAGTCCGAGGATCAGGGGCACGAGGGTGCGCCAGGAGGACCAGGGGTGGACGGTGCCGCCCCAGGTTAGGGCTAGGAGGATGGCGACGACAGAGGCGATGAGGAGGGCGTTACCGATGAGGTCGACGCGGCGGAGCATGTTGCGGATGGAGTCTTTCTTGTAGTTGACGTGGAGGAAGGGGACGAGGAGGAGGAGTGCGGCACCGCAGATGGGGAGGTTGAGGTAGAAGATCCAGCGCCAGGTGACGCGTTGGGTCATGAGGCCACCGATGACGGGGCCGAGGGAGAGGGCGACGGCGAAGACGGAGAAGATGACGCCCATGTATTTGGGCCGCTCGCGGAGCGGGAGCAGATCACTGACGATGATATCGACCAGGACGTTGATGCCGCCGCCGCCGAGGCCTTGGATGGTACGGCCGGCGATGAGGGCTCCGGTACTCTTGGCTGATCCTGAGACGGCGGAGCCGACGGCAAACAGAACGACGGAGAGAATGGTCAAGCTGCGACGGCCGAAGATGTTGGCGGTTTGGCCGTAGAGGGGTTGGAATGCGGCCATGGTGAGCATGTATGCATTGGAGATCCACACGTAGGAATCGCCCGAGTTCAGGTCCTGGACGATGGTGGGCAGGGCCGTGGAGATGACGGAGGCGTCTAATGCGGAGAGTAACGAGGTGACGGTGAGAGCTGCAAATATGGCCTGTTCCGGGTTAGATGTGATCATGTAGCTGGGAGACGCTTAAGAAAAGCTTACCCAGAACCGCCAGCCTTTTTTAACGGGTGGCGGGTTGTCCATCGGCGGGGAAGGAAGGGATTTTTTGGACATGATGAGTGACAGTGTTACTGAATTACATGGAGACCAGACCGATGCTTGGGATTCACTTTTATACGGACTTGATGCAGGGATCCTACCTGAGTCAGGGCTGAGTGGGGCACCTGACATTCTGACACCAAACCGGGTGGGTTCCCTGACTCAGGAAGCAGGACGGTGATTGGTGGGTCCACATTCAACATCTGAACACGAAGCAAAGTAATAAAATCTCCATAGGAGACAGCTGCAATGCTATATTGATGACAATGGAAAATGTTTGATAATTATCTACTATCTTCTATAATATATTCATCTGGTGCGCAGATTCTTAGGCGATGGTACTGTCTAGATGCAGTTCACAGGTGCGGTGGTGGATATATATTTTGCAACAATAAAACTGTTGGGGTATGGAACGAGCTCTATTGAGGGGAATCAGTTCTTTGATTTTATCACAGCCTGCTGACTGTCACCGATTAATAATAATAATTAGACTTTCTGTTATATCGTGAGCAGCTCCAAGTGTATTCCCTCCTGAGCACAGAATGTATACGTAATCTCCAACCCGGTCTCACACGGTCCCCTTGGGATATGTGTATAAGACAATGCCTCGACCCTCTGCCATATCGGAATCTGTTCCATGCACTGTACCATGTGCTCTTCCCCCGCCGCCGCCTCTTCAATTTCAATTACCCGCTGCACCACCCTGGCCGTAGTGATGCTATCCCAAGCCCCCTCCCGGATGACTTGCCATCGCAGAATACTCAACACCTCACGACGAACAGTAGGATGCCGGCACTTGACCCCGATTATGTAAAGAATGGGGATAAGTCCGATCTCTGGCGTAAAAGTCGGCTTTGACGATCCCGAATACCGCTGATGCGCCGCGGATACCTCGCCCGCTAGTGCGACGCATTGCTGGAACAGGGGCAGGAGATTGTCATACTCCATTTCTCGGCCAGGTCCATAATCATTGAGGAGAATCCATGCGATGGTATGTTGTAAGCGCAGGAGTGATACGAGAAGGTCTGACTCCGACGGGCTGCCTTGTTGCAGGAGGTTTTCAAAGAGACCCAACCACGTTTCTAACTGCCTGAGAATATTGTCATTGTGTGCAGAATGTAACGGCGGCATCGTACCCATCAGGGACATTTGTTGATCGGTGTTGCGCATTCTCATTACCTGAGCGACGAGAACCTGGAGATGGTCGGCAGCTTGGTCGAGTGACTGAAAGGTACTGTCGAAGGGCATGAATGTGTCTTGGATGTTGGCTGGAGTCCAGTCAACCAGAAACATGCCGGCCTGCATGTCAAGACGACGGATCTGCTTGGCGACCTGGCAGATAATCGCATGAACTCCCGGGGATTGGTTATGGCAGCTGTTCAATGTAGCGCTGTCAATGTTGTGTGAGAGTGCCACACCTCCGCGCAGGTGCTTCAGTGCTTGCACATTGTCACCCGCCAGATGATCGAAGCAGGTAAAGAGATAACAGACCAGAAGTGTAACAACTCTTGTTTCGGCGCTGTCTCCAGCTTCCGGGTTCAGCAGAAGTTGAATGGCGCGGTTATAATGAAGCAAAGGAGCCTTATCCGGTAGGTACACCTGGTTGTTAGAATGACGATCCAGGTAGATTTGGTGCATCAAGGCCAGAGCCATGGCAGCATGTCGCACTGATGGGACTGTCTGGGCAAAGAACATGAGAGTCTGCCGCCATAGTTCACAAGGCCGGTATTCATTTAGGTGCTTGATGGATATATCTTGGAAGAAGCACATTATGTCTGCCTGTGTCCCAGTCACTGGTAAGATCATAAGAGATCCAAGGTTCTGGGAAGTGAGGCCATTGGATTTTGAGTGCCATTGCTCTGACTCGTGCGCACTAATCGTGGTACAGGAGTAGCAACTGTCGCTGCTATCTGCTCTGTTGATCTCCTTGTGAGGATGAGTTGATTCAACCTCGGGCTTCTCGACCCTGAATGCGAGAGGCATTTCACTATAGCCATCGCAGGTGCGACCGGTAGAAACGCATTTCACGCATGAAGGTCGAGATTGATCGCATTTAATGCGTCGTATCCTGAGGGCCGTCAGTTCAAAATCTTTGAATAAAATTGATCGCTCGTAGCAAGACGTAGAGTCAAGACATACTTGCAAGTCTTACAACCTAGTTTTGACTTTGAAGAAAACTTGCGAGGCTTTTTTCTCCAGGCTTGATTGCCCGGCTTCGTGTTCTTGTTCTTCGTATCATCCATCATGGTTGCGCCCCGTTTCAGGCAAAGGTCAATTTTGAGGCCACCGCCTGCGTGCGTTGGCTTGTACAAGGAGCTTATGGACCGATGAATGTTCAAGATGATGATCTGTTCTTCAGGAAGTTATCGCCAAATACTTTGCGGTAGACAGCGTGAGAAAAATGGGGTACAGAGTGCCTAACCGAAGCTTGGAGAAAGACCACACCTGATGGGCCGGTTCGTACATAAAGGAGAGTTTCCATGATCAGTGTTGATTGGCCAGTTCGTACAAGTGGGACTTGTGGAAGGTCTTACTTGTTGTAGAATAGTCTCCATTTTTATTAGTACCGATTGGCTCGTTCGTACAGGTGGGGCGCCAAGCAAAGCGAGGCTCTTCCGATTTAACTATTTATATCCCCTTACAAGGCTAACATTACTCCGTTATACTCGGTGGTGATCGAAAAAACTTGGTTGGCTAGGTCGTACAAGTGGGATGGAAAGCGATTGTACGAAAGAAGAGGGACCTTAGTTCAATAAGAAAAATGCAGTTGCCTATTGAACCCGTCAGACTTGATACTGGTATCCACGGGAATTCAATTGGTATAAATAGTTCCTAGATATCGCACCTGTTTCCTCCAAAATAACTGAGCAGAAAGATCAATGGAAGCCTCAAGATGAAAATGAACCGACTTCTAAGCGCCCCCATCCTTTTTATGAGCTTGGGATTCAAAGTCCACGGTTTGTATCATCGGGGCATGGTCTATGGATTTGACACAGTGAGTCCGGGGTTTGCCCAAGGTTTCAAACTTCTGACGAGCCATCTAGATTGAACCATCAGCCAACCTCACATGGACATCATGCTTCGATTCCTTCAATTGCTCTAAATTGGATGTTCCTTTGGACTATTCCAACCGAAGTCTTGGCACAACGTCGATTGCCTTCATCAAGCTGGCTGGCAAGAATGCCACCGTCGAGTCTCCAAGCATTGTGATCAACCCCGGTACAATCTCAACTTATTAATCATGCAATTGTCTGAATTTCATCTGACTGGACTGACACTTCGTTAGGCGGTCCGGGTGGTTCAGGTGTTGACCTACTCCTCACATACCAGGATCTCGTCGGAGAGATGTTTGGAGACCAATACAACTTCGTCTCCTATGACCCTCGCGGTGTGAACAACAGTGGCTTGCATCTAGACTGCTTCCCAAACGACGCAAAAGCAAGATCAACCTTCTATCGACTGCACAGAACAGGCGCCACCAATATCTCATCAACATCATTTGAGGAACAGTACTACTCAAGCTCTATCTACGGCGAGTGGTGCAACAATGCTGTGGAGAACCACACACCCCATGCCTATTATGTGGCTACACCAGCAGTCGCCCATGATTTGCTCACATTCACCGAAGCCGAAGCTAAGATGGCCGGTCAGTCCCCATCAACCGCCAAACTGTGGTCCTATAGCATCAGTTACGGCACTGTTATCGGAAGCACTTTTGCTTCCATGTTTCCTGATCGCGTTGGGAGAATGGTCCTCGATGGTGTTATAAACGCAGAGCAATATTATGACAACTATTGGACAGACAATGCGGATCAAATGGACGAGGCCATGGAAACATTCTCGACCTTTTGCCATTTGGCAGGTCCTGAAAAGTGCTCATTTTGGGGACCCACCCCAGCTAACATCACGGCGAGAATGGATGCCATCATCACTCGGCTTCAGAACCATCCAGTCCCGCTAAATGGAATCGGTGATTCAGACCTGCCGACAATGGTCACCTATTCAGACTTGAAGACTCTTTTTCTCAACTCAATCTACACACCACTGGCAAGCTTTCCCAGCATGGCCGACATCCTACACCAGGCCGAGCGTGGGAATGTCTCCGCTCTTGCGGGCATGTATGAACAGTCAAACTCTATAACCGATGCCCGTCTCGCCATTACGTGCGCCGACTCGTATCGGAGAAACAGGCTGACTACTATCGAAGAGTTCAAGGCTTGGACAGAGTACATGGTTTCCAAGAGCAAGTACATCGGTGATGTTTACCCTACCTATTTGGAGGGTATTTTATGTCGATCATTCCGACCGCACTTGCCTGATAGTATGTTCTTCCAAGGTAGGCAACACCCCCTCTCTCCTTTCTGGCATTTGACGATCATTGTTTTCGGCAAAATGGGGGATTATTTGCATGGGATCAAGTCTAACGAGGTTGATACAGGCAAAATAAGTGTACTAAACAAGCCTATGTCCTTTCCGATCCTCTTTGCAAGTAATACCATCGACCCCATCACGCCGTTACAATCGTACGTTCAGCCAAACCGCATCACCATTGGTTATATTACAAGCTAACATCCTCTCGTTATAGGGCGCGTAAGATGTCCTCTCGGTTTGCCGGATCGGTACTTTTAATGCAAGAAGCCGTTGGTGTGAGTTTTCAATATATAGCTATCTCGACCAAGAGTCTTGGCTTACTCGGGGATGTTTCCTTGAATTCAGCATACGGTCATCGACCAGGGAGCGTCGGACTGTTACTTTGCACATATCCAGGCATACCTCGAAGGGACTGTTCCAGCTTCCAACACTACATGCCCGCGACAATACATTCCCTTTATAGATGCCAACCCCCTTTAACGATTTCGAACCGGGAGAGGAAAGCTTGGTCAATTTCAGGAAAGAACATACCGGTGTTAACTAAGTTCTGGATTGCATACCCTTATTCCAAGGTAATAGTTTCAGTGTGGGGTCGGTTGCTACGCTCCTTTTACTTTTTTGTTATTGAATTGCCTATTATTCTGTTCTCCCTTTGTCTGAGCCGTTGTATATAAGCAATCTCACTTCTGACAACTTCCTAAGTAAGGTGCTTAACAAATTATTAGGCAGTTTGCTCACCATGGTGGTTGACAATCCCATCACTATCCAAGGTCCTCCGGAAACCCATCAGGATAGCCTTTCCATGCATTATTGGATCTACTTCCGTAACTTGGAATTAGCGACGAACATCCCTTTCTACAGGCTAGGAAAGTCCGGTTGGAAGGCATACAGGTCCGAAAGCCAGGTGCTTCTACGGATGCGTGAAAGGGGTGATTGTCCTTATGTGATCCCTAATACTTAGTGCTCGCCACTAGAGAGGGATTTGTCTATAAGGTGGTGTGTTGAGATGCAGTCGCTTTTCGTGCTCCTCCGGCTATGGTGACAATCATGGCTCACCCCTCAGCATCGCCACCCACCCTGTCAGGCGCCTGTGTACGTAGATTAGTTGCCTTAGTTGCCATGGTATTATAAAGCGATATGTTAATCAAGCAACAGCTTTCCTTATCAGGATCCAATACGAAGAGTTAAGAATCTGGTGGATGGAGAACAGCCAGAAATGATCTCCGGCCCTGTTCTCCGTAAGCTATCCGCAGGATGGGGGTAATGGCTATATCCAGGCGATTGAAATGGTTGCCTTAGTGTCTAACGATGATTGAATGCGCCCTCAACACCGCCTCCACTAGACCGGGAGGAACGTAGAAGCGTCTCAGTTGGCTCGATTTATCGGATACTCGGGCAGTAGCCAGCCTAGTAAACCTAGATAGCGGGTCAGCATATGTAACTGAGATGTTCCTAGCTGTCACGGGCGTTTCCTGGGTATTAGCAAGAGGACGACATGTGCCGTCTTGATGAATCTTGGTAAACCATCTGTTGAACCCACTGCCCTTTGGTTTCCAGCACGGCATCTTCGCTGCTCGTCAACCGCCATACACTCTTTCTAATCGGCCACATAAGCTCTCACTGCTCCTTTCAGAGTGTCGAGCCCGCTTTGACACACCTAGTAAATTCTAGGAAGGAAGAGCGAATGGCACCACGAGGCTGCGTGGTTAGACAGTATGATGGTATTGGCAGACTGATTCGCCGGTCAATCGCTGCTCAGTACAGAATAGTTATGCAATATATCTGGACGGGACTACCCAATCAACAGGATAACACGCATGGTGGAGAATAGTACGCAGCAGCAACGGAACCTGCGGGGTTCCCAACTAGTTCTACCGGGCTGGTCTCCTGGCGTCTGGACATATGCACAACGACTGTGCTGCAAATTCTCATCCCCGACTCACCCATGCCCACAACCCAGTGTTCAAAACAAGTCAAAGAGCCAACTCTAGCAGCCATGCAGCCTTTTTCCTTTGCCTGATGCTCTAGGGTGCAGAAAGGAGGGGCAACCGGCAAATTACACTTGCATGTAGCGCTCTAGACTCCAGCACAGCGTATTCGCTTGAGAACACGATGAATACAATGTTTCATCAAGGCATATCTTCCCACTCCTGCATGCATTGTTGGATCCACTTCCATAAGCTGGGCCAAGCGATAAACATGTCCGTGCGAAGTGTCTGCGGTTTGTTGGTGGCATACTGTGCTTTCCATTCTGACATCAGCGTCAGCTTCTTGGCTATTGTGTGTCGGAGATCCTTGTTTCGAAAGTATTCCTGTTCATCCTTCTCAATTTTTGAACGTGGCTGATCCTCCTCTTGAACTTCTCTGTAAAGCTGGATGTAGTGAGGCGAACGCCGCTTCTGTAAGAATTATTGTCCTATGTCCTATTGTAGACCATATGCGTAGTGCCAGATGGTACCGAAGAGAGTATAATCAGCAACTGAATCCAGATTTATGAGGCGATTGAATCTCCAGGAGACCTGGCCCCGCTCTAGCGATTCACGGTATGTCCGTATCAAGCTTTCTTCGAATGATTTAGGCAGTCGCGATGAAGCCATTGATGAAGGATGTTTGTAACTCCGAACCGATTTCGTCGCGATATTGTGGCAGTCCAGGCGCAGCTAACAGCATAGATTCGGGAATAGATGAAGCGAATGCCCAGTCGATGATACACGTTATGTTGTAATCATCATCCACATAGATGTTGTTGACACTCAGATCAGGGTGGCACAAAGGAAAAGTTTCTGTGTTGACCGCAGGGAGTTTACATTGCCGTAAAATGTCACGGAGAGCATCACCCACGATTATGTAGTCCAGTCTGTTGTCTGACGAGTCGATCTTGCAGCAGAGGGTCACAAAGTCGTTCCATAGGCTCATAGCCTCCGCATAGTGTGTGTTAGATTGATAGTCGTCTCGTGAGGGAATGGGTGCCACAAAGCAGTGATGTGATAGCTGCAGAATTTCTGCCTGCTCCGAGAATGCAGAGGCAAGGCTGTCATAGAACTGCTCTTCAGAAGTGAACGGCCCACGTGGAATCTCCAAGCAATATCGACTGTGTAGCATGTGACCCCGGGAGAGACATTCCTTGATTTCGAAGGACTCTTCTTCTTCAAAGTGTGAACCGACCTTATCGAAACGCAACTGCGACAGCTTCCAGGTGATACCGCCCAGCTGATAGAGAACTTTTGCCTTGCTGGAGGTCTCTATGTCAGGTTGAGGGGAGCCGGCTGGTCTCCAGACTTTTGACAGTGGTCGGCCAGGAGCTTCGCTCATGAAAATGAACGGGATACCGATTTCATTATCGGAAGAAGCACTATCCTTGGTTAGAAGCCGAAGAGTGTAGCCTCGGAGAGTCCGTTACCAATAGTCGTAGATTTCTGGAACTGGGATATCGCTGTGGGCCTTGAGATATCGCAGCGTGGCAGCTTCGCTTGACAGTAGCTTTTTTCCCATCTCCACTGGCATGAATGTCCTAGGACGTGGGGACCTGAATACCCATCGTATCCCATCTTCAAATGATATAAAGACGGCCCAATTTAAGCTTCCAAATGCAGGACGCTGAGTCGGACCACAGATGCATGGAATACCCTTCCGCAGCGTGCTTGCTCGACGGGACAGAGCCTGAAGGTCAAATTTAGCATAGGTGAATATTACGGGCTCTTAACTGGAAGACATTTTTAAGGAAAGGGATTGGAGAGGGGGAAATGGGATTGAAAGGAATACAAGGGCGAAAGGGGTGTTGATTGATCAAAGCGGTGAGAGCTGGAGACTTTCACGTGATGAAAGCGTGGCTTTCTTGGTTCTTAGCTCGATACTGCCACCTCGCACCGCTTCAGCCACAATCTTGGAGATGATCGCCACATCGATAAGGCGCTACATCCTGGGGGTCATTCATTAAACCTATGAAGAACTGCAACTTTCACATTTTTCTTCCCTTGAGATGTACGATTTATATTCCAGATCTTGGATAGATGTATAAAGTTCTACTTATCAAGGTCCAGTCATGAATCCATCTAGTAAGAAGACCGCCAAACTAACTAAAAATAAATAGTAACTTCTCAAACACACATAATATTACCTTCAATGAAATTAACTAGTAGAATGTAGAGCCAAAACCGCAGCCATACTACTTTCTACCTATATGGGGTGATGGACACGGGAAGATGAGTACAGATATCGAGGCTTTGGCTGCGGGAACAGGTTCAAAACCATCCTTGGTCCTTATCCTCAACATAGACTTTCGGGAGCGGGTGCCTTCCGTCAATAAAAACCGTTCCCCCAGCAGCTTGGTTATGGCCACCAACGTTGATCTGATAAGGGATCACCTTGGGCCGCGGCTTATCCTCCAAGTTTTCTTGGAGAATGGATTCGATCAGGCGCTGTTGATCGGGAACAGCGATCTGTCCCAGGTATATCCCGCACACAATCCCGGACTGTTTCATTTCAGGCCCCAGACGGATATCCTTCTTGAATAAATACAGATCAACAAACTCGGTCATTTTCTCTCGGACATGCTTTTCCCCAGCATCAGGGTCATTGGTCGGGCCAGGTAAGGGAGATATGTGGGCCAGGATGGCGCCTTTTGTGGAAGCAAGCATAACTGCCGTACAGCTGTTCAAGTTCCGGGTGCCAATGACTTTCTTGGTCTGGTCATCCGAGAAAGAGATGAAGCCGACTTTGTTCATGTGGACCTCGATTGCCTCTCCATCGTTCAAGGCCTCGACAAGAAAGCGAAGTACCCGAGCCTAATATAGGAAGCATTTTCTAGTCCTTAATGGATTATGTTGGAGTGGCTACTAAGGCGATTCAACCGTGTAGAATGAGATGGATGATGATCTAGCTAGGGGCCTCGTAGGCCATCTATATGGACTAACTAGCGGTGTAGGGAGGAGCGTCACGTGACCCTACGTTGCCTACCGGCCTGGGAGCCCATCGGGGATCCCAACAGATTATGTAAGATTTATTTCTATGTATTGCACATTCATGTCCCTGTGCACTCGGATGCTTATATGTATTGGGGGAGAAGGGAAAAGGATGGGTAAGCATAGGTGTAACAATGGGTATGAATGCATAAAACAGACATAAGATGACAGAATTTCCCAACTAGACCAAAAGAGATACCTCTTAGGTTAGTGGGACAATTCTAAGGTGAATAGTTCCAACATACCCTTCTCAGACTAAATACAGTGAAAGTTTAAAAAATTTATCTTAAACCGAGTTTATATACTCAAGAGAATAACACAGCTGACTCTAAAAGCTTACTGTAAAAGTAGTGACCCGGACTCAAATCCCTAATATAGAGATCTCAAATAAATAGTAGATAGTAGAGAACTAAGCTTCTCCGGGCTCATAACCTGACAGAATTTCCCAACTAGACTAGAAGACATACCTCTTCAGTTAGTGAGACAATTCCAAGGTGAATAGTTCCAACATAAGATAGTATAAATTAGTACAAGATGGGATGTTGATGACGGGTTATGTCACCGATGAATAAGCCGACCATCATGTCACCTGATGAGACACACCACTTAACTCCAAGGGGCAACTCTACTTTCCCTACAAAATCTCGGTGCTAATCTCTTGGGAGACATTCCATCTGAGCCTTTAATACCAGTCTAATTCTCCTGTCCATAAAAATGAGGAATATTATCAAGGAGCTTCGCATTACCATTACTGACAACGACATTGTCAAAGTCGCTAACTTGCTCGACGAAGGAGCGCCAATGATACTTGAACACTTCGCCCTGGCGACCCAAGCGAAGCTTTATTAGGTGCTTAAGCTGTTTATCGATCGCGGTTGGAATATCAATACCGACGTCGATACACTCACGCCGTCAGCACTTGTGCAAATATGATTACATTCCACATTGTCGTCCTGATGAACTCATGCCAGTTAGATACACCTTCGACGATATAACCCTTCTTCGATGGTTCCTGGACAATGATGCCGATCCGAACAAACGATGTCAAATCCGGGACTGTACTCCATTATCCTATGCTGTCGCACAGGCGCCATTTGAGGCGATTGATATGCTCTTCACGTATGGGGGCTCGGTTGATCAAGGTCAACTGTTGCATTACACTGCAATGCGCGGCCTTCCAGACAGTGTGGAAGTCCTGGAATATATCTACAACAAGGACTCGGACACTCAGGGGACGAAAATCAACAAATTGTTGGACCAAGATACACCGGAGGCGTTTGCGATGAACTATAGGGTGGGACTCGGAACCCCGCTTCACTACGCCGCGCTCGCTGGATCGTTGGGGTCGGTTAGATACCTGTTGGAGAAAGGAGGGGACCCTTGGGTCTTAGATCCTTATCGTCGAACAGCACTAGGGTTGGCAATATACGCTAACCACGAGCACGTGGCACAGTTCTTGACGACTTGGAGTCATACGGCCACACTGCAGCAGAAGAGGACAGGGAATGTCGGCGTGGTAGTCTAAGCTTATTGGCCCATTCTTATCTCCGCTTGAGGAAGTATATAATAATTCACAGCGCGTACTTTACCAGTGTCCCTCTCTGACTGACAGAATAGAGAATGCATGTAGCCTCCGAAACGTCCTATGCACTATACAGCATGTCATGACCTTTGATGGCGTTGAAAATATGTGCATAATACATTCGATCTTTCATCATTACTTAGTAAGCTGGTAATCTAAGGTCTTTATTTACTTGTTTATTCTTGATGGTTTCCTCAAACCCATTCCCTGCGCTGTTTATTCTTTTCGCGACACTCTCTCAGTCCTCTTCCTAATCTCCCATATCCTTTCGTGTGGCTCTTGAGGTTTCTGAGGTTGCAGTTGACAGAGCACCTGGGAGTTTCAGATATGGTCGAGGTTGTAGGGTTGGGGAAAGACGCAGTCCAGGACCGAGCTTCGGCAATTGTGGAATTGCGGCCATGTCTTGTCGCACAGTTTCAGAATTTATTGGTCTGTTAAGGTTTAGTCGAAACGTCTCTACTATATGTTTGTTGCCACTTACATTCGACACATCATCGCGAGACTTGTATGAGCCTTCTACCACTACCTCGGAAGCCGCCGGGAACTCAAACTTATGACTGAGAAATGGCACAAGTGGAGGGGAGGATTTCTAGAAGGCGGCAACAGTTCATGCTTTTGCCTCCTTCGATAGTTGAAAGTAGGGTTCCCCACTTGGGGCGCAATAGGGAAAACTCAAAAATCACATTAGTGGAGACGGACCGTGCATACAAGCCCTAACGGGTTTACCATGTTTTGACAAGAGTGTACCTGGGCTGCACCATCAGTGACTGAAATAGGTGTAGTCAATGCCTAGCATTGCACCTTCTTACCGTCTCAGGAAAGAGCAAAGTGTCATACTAATCGCACTATAGAATGTTCCTCCCTTTGGGAGTCACCTCCTCACAGCGCCTAACCTCTGAGTATGGGATGAAACTCCGTCACTGTCCACTGAAGACATCGGTAGTATTTCGGGAGCAAGACCGGACTCGGTCCAGGTGACCCGATCCTTGCAGAATCCCCAAATCCTGGATCCTCGGGTAAACGCAGAAATCTGCGCTCTGGGGTCATTTGCTGCCTGCCTCATAGCAATGTCTTCAATGCTGGATGTTCTCAAACATGTCGATTGAGAATTTGTGTAATGAATTGACCGACCGGAGAGGTCTTCTTGTATGCCTGAATGCATGCCCTAAGTCCCACCTGGTGCTGGAACACGACGTATGCACGGACCATGACGATGGCGATCATCCGTCTATACGCGTATAGACAAAGTTTCCCCTGAACAGTGGATGGACCCTGCCAACCGTGGGTCCATGTCTCGCTCGAGTTAATATCTTCTCTGTCCCTCCATCTTCTTCATTCTCTCCATCTAGCGTATCATTCCTCAACAACCCTACCTATGGAGCCATACGACCAACCTCCGCCCTATGAGGCCGTGCCTTCAAACCCGTGGGAAGGCCAAGAGACTGCTGTCAAAGGTCGGTGGACCCTTCCGTCGCATTTTTCCGTCGGAGGGCATTCTGACCAGCCCCATATAGACGACGGTCGCGTCGTGGTGGATGCAAATTCCCGGCTTTGCAGAACCATTTCCAAGCTTATCCCACGTGTACGAGAAGAACAGCACCTGCCACCACCACCCGGGTATTGGGAGAACATCAAACCCCCACACCGTCTCAACATCGTTATCCAAATCGTCGGTAGCCGGGGCGATGTGCAGCCATTCATTGCATTGGGAACGGCCCTACAGCAATGCGGCCACCGCGTACGAATTGCCACACATCAAGTCTTTCAGAACTTCGTCCACGATTCTGGCTTAGAGTTCTACCCCATCGGCGGTGACCCTAGCCAACTGATGGCGTATATGGTCAAGAACCCTGGTTTGATCCCCCGGATGAGCAGTGTACGCGCAGGCGAGATCGCAAAGAAGCAGCAGATGATGGCTGATATTCTTCGTGGCTGCTGGCAGTCATGTGTTGCTGTTGACCCTGTGTCTCAAGCCCCGTTTGTTGCGGACGCTATCATTGCCAATCCCCCGAGCTTTGCTCATGTCCATTGTGCGCAGGCTCTTGGAATCCCGCTCCATTTGATGTTCACAATGCCCTGGAGTGCTACGCGCGCGTTTCCACATCCGTTGGCGAATTTGAAGAATGTTTCGCCGGACCAGGACTGGATCAATCATGTTTCTTTTGGTGTGGTGGACTGGTTATCATGGCAGGGGTAATACACTAATCTTCTACCAAGATTGTTCTTGTCTAATTGCTCACTGATCATTCAACATAACAGGTTAGGTGAAGTGATCAACGAATGGCGAAAAAGCGACCTGAGTTTGGAGCCGATTGCCATGTCCGAAGGTCCATTCCTCCTCCAGACTCTCAAGGTGCCCTATACATACTGTTGGTCACCCGCCCTGGTGCCAAAGCCCGACGACTGGCCGGCAAACCTAGGTATTTACTCCACATCCCCTCTATTGTCCGGTGTCATCACTAACCACAGCACCACGATAGAGGTCTGCGGCTTCTTCTTCCGCGACGCACCAGACTACAAGCCCGATGCAGCCCTTGCATCCTTCCTCAGCTCAGGCCCTCCACCTATCTACATCGGGTTCGGAAGCATCGTTCTAGAAGATTCAGAGAAAATGACCCGAATGTTCGTGGAAGCGATTCAGCAAACAGGCGTCCGGGCACTGATCTCCCGGGGGTGGAGTAAACTCGGCGGAATCGAGTGCGAGAATATCATGTATCTCGATGACTGTCCCCATGAATGGCTTTTCCAGCGCGTTAGCGCTGTCATTCACCACGGGGGAGCAGGGACTACGGCCTGTGGGCTGCGCTATGGCAAGCCAACATTTATCGTGCCGTTTTTTGGCGAGTAAGTACACCTTCCGCGGAAACGTCTGGTTCCTGTACCTGACCAATCTCTTTAAAGTCAACCATTCTGGGGCCAAATGGTAGCCGCCAATGGCGCAGGTCCAAGCCCGATACCACACGAGCTTCTCTCCGCACAGAAACTCGCCGAATCAATCCTCTACTGCATTAGTCCCACCGCTATCGAAGCGGCAGGACGTATCTCCGCCAGAATGCAACACGAATCAGGAGTCCAAGCCGCCGTTGCCTCGTTCCATCGAAATCTCCCTGAAGATCTCAAGAAATGCGGAATTCTGCCAGAGTTCTCGGCCTCCTGGGTCGTCAAGAAGGGGAAGAAGCGGTATCATCTGTCAAAGGTAGCTGCGGAGATTCTGCTCGATCATATGAAGATTGCTAGGGATAAGATGCAGCCGTGAGTACCACCCTTATATTCGATCGAGACCGTATGCTGATCATGAGTAGATATCAACCCAAACCCATCATCATCGAGAACGAGCGCTGGGATCCAATCACAGGTGTCTCATCCGCTGGACTCGGCTGGACGGTAGACATGCTCAAAGCATCAGGGGATATAGTCTACCAGCCATACAAAGTCTTTAAACATCGAGACTCGACCTCTAGACCATCATCACAGTCAACAAATCGCGAAGCCCCACTCTCAACTACCGAAACACAACTCCATCCTACCACCGATCCCCAAATCCGCAAAGCAAAATCCATGACCGACATGACCCTCACCAAGACAGACGAACCTATCAAAAAACACAAAGCAACCGCCATGGCCTCCGCATCTGCAAAAGCCTCAGGCAAGCTACTAGGAAAATACGTCTCCGGGGCAATGGTCGATATCCCGTTAGCAGCTGCGGAAGGGTTCCGAGTACTTCCTGGGCTATATGGTGATAAGGTCCATGATTATGGTCACGTCAAGGATTGGAAGACGGGTATTATTGCTGGAGCAAAGTGTTTTGCTCTCGGTATGGGTGAAAGCGTCACGGATATCTTTTATCAGCCGTATAAAGGTGCCAAAGATAATGGTGCGGTGGGGTTTGCGACGGGAATGTTGAAAGGAACGTTTGGGGTCGTGGGGAAGGTGACGCATGGTAGGTGATATATTTTCATTCACTTGAGATATTTGCTGATTTATTGGCGTTAGCTTCCTTGGGACTGGTTGCGTATCCTGGTCAGGGTATAAAACGGACTATTCGCTCTTCGTTCCGGAATAAGCGGCAGAAGCAGATTGTTACGGCTCTGCATGCTGATGGGGTGAGTATGCTTCATGGGGAGAGACGGCGCGGGATGAAGGATGCGTTGGTTCTTGATGCGTTTGGTCGATTGATGCAGAGGAATGATGATGTTGATGATAGCGATGATTATATGTAAGGGTACATTGTTTTTTGAATACTTCCTATGTTACACCTAGCAAAAAGGTTATCATTTTGTAGGATAAGCTTTATTTACAAGTAACAATGTGCAGTATCTGTGGTGCAGTCCAGCGTGGACTCAATATTAGTCTCAGACACTTCCAAGCAGAAAGCCGAAGAAGATAATGCAATCTAATAAACAGGCATCTTCCAAGCATCAAGATCCCAAGTCCAGAGAAAACAAATCCAGCTTGAATAGATGTCGAACAATCTTGAAATATGCCGGCTGATAGGCCAGTAGGGCACAAACTTTGAATATTCCAGAGTTACCCGTTCAAGGATGCTTTTGCGAGGTCCCGCCAACCCTAAATCACATCAATCTTTACTATATCAGCTATCTCAATGTTGTGTCTAGTACATACAACCACAGGGTATGGAAAACAGGGCTTCCCGTCTGCTCAGCTGTACTTAAGCCACACACTGGGAGGTTTGTAGTTATTAAAATCCCCGATGGTGACTAGGCAGTCACGTGATGCTACACCACTACTTTCTCTATATCAGGCCACTGTAGCAATTAGCTAGACATCATCTATGATTACTTTCTTCTATATCTTCCTCTCTCTTAAGCTGTTCTCTTGATAAATTATAAGCTCTTTTTGCTTGATTATCTAGAATTATTTAATTAGACTTTATACTTGAATGTTACGGACCCCTGCTAGCTGAACGAACTAGTGAGGCGGACTCATTAGGCAGAAGGCCACGTCCGGAACAGCAAGGACTCTTATCGAGTAGAATCCCGATCTGAGCAACCGATGACCGGAGCAGTACCACAGCACGTGACCACGCGGGCATGTCACCGACACGCTATAACATGTCAGCGATACGACAGAACATGGCGGCGACACGAAATAACATATCAGTGGCATGACATATCATGGCGACGCCATAACGAAGGATAGGATATAAGGACACTCTTTCATGTACTTAGCTAGTTCTGTTCTTCGTGCTCAATACAACTGTCTTTAAGTAACCATACGTTTTGGTAAAGCTTAGCGACAACACTCGTCCGCACTTACTTACGGATAGCTGCGCGGCACTATCTGGCCTTACTTCTCTTCTTCTGTTCAGAACCAGTCACCTTTAGATAGTCATCAGTCTGACTTACCTCGATTTAGTTCGAAGGTACGTATTGGAACGGAAGCTAAGCTAACAGGAACAGGGAGAAGCGATCCTAGGGTTTGACATTGAATTCTTGTTAATATAATTACTGACTAATCCCTACTTTCTAAACCCTCTTAAATCAAGAAATCGGATCTTATTATCTCTTCTATTGATTTAAAGAGAGTATTCCAGTTTCTTAATCTAATTATGTTTAATTATCTTGATCCTGCCTCTGTATACTGGAAAGAATATGTATATCTATTTAAATAAATTTATTATATTATACTTATCTAATCCCATGATTCATAACACTACAGAGTTAAATAAGAGAGTGGTGAAACAACTAGAGAAGATAGCTAGTTATCAGATATTTTGGAGTTCATAAAACCTCTTGATATTAAGGCTATTGTCAAACCCTAGGATCGCTTCTCCCTGTTCCTGTTAGCTTAGCTCCCGTTCCGATACGTACCTTGTGAACTGAATCAAAGGTAGTCAGGCTGTTGACTATCTAAAGGTGACTTGATCTGAACAGAAGAAGAGAAGTAAGGCCAGATAGTGCCGCGCAGCTATCTGTAAGTAAGTGCGGATGAGTGTTGTTATTAAGCTCTATCAAAACATAGGTTACTTAAAGATAATTATAATTAAGCACGAAGAACGGAACTAGCTAAGTATATGAAAGAGTGTCCTTATATCTTATCTCTTATTATGGCGTCGCCATGATATGTCATGTCGCTGATATATTATATTATAGCACTGCTATGTCCTGTTATAGCGCTGCCATGTTATAGTGTGTCAGTGATATATCCGTCGTGGTCACGTGTTGTGTAACCATCCCGGTTTGTAGGTTACTCTAATCAGGATTCTACTTGATAAGAGTCCTGGTCTTCCGGATATGGCCTTCTGCCTAACGTATCTATCTTACTAGTTTGTTCAGCTAGCAGGGGTCTGTAACATCACTCCCCCTCTTTCAAGGTTTCTTGTCCCCAAGGAACATAAATCTGCAGTGCCTCCCTCCTGAGGTGAGTATCTGGTGTCATTTCCCAAAACTTTGTTCAGATTATTAACCATGTTGTCTAGTTCTTTTATTTATAAGAAGAGCCTTTACCAGCAGATTAAGGATAAAGGTTTCCTTGCGGTTTTCCCTTGCAAATGCTGTATTTGCCTTTACAAGATTTACATCAAATCCAAAAATTCTGATCACTGTAGTAAGTATATTAAAATAAATGATGTTTATTATAAAATACCTGATCCTTCCTTCTCTGACATCAAGTAGAAGCGTTTAATCAAGGCTCAAAATTTCATTAAAGAAGAGAAGAAAGTCATTCTAGCGAAACTTCTTCAGTTACAGAAACAAAAACAGTTATTATAAAAACAAGCTGGTAATTTCATAGCTCATAACATAAAGAAAATCAAAGAGCTGGAAGAGTTTAAGAAGTAAGAATAAAGAGAATATAAAGTGCAAGCAAGGCTGCACGATTAATAAGCTATAATATCCAAGACTGAGACTAATACTGCCACGGGTGGTGTTAAACTAGCCACCATATCCAAGCTTAATCTTAGTTTATCCTAACTTATTGACTCTCCTTCTTTCTAGACAAACTTTGACTTGCCTGCTGGTAGTACTGTTTTATAAGCTAGTAATAGTCTGTTAAATTCTTGATAAATTTCCATATATTTTTTAAGATATTATATTCTTTCTATTTTATCAAATACTTTAATCTACTGCTAATCTTCTTGTAGTCTAAAATCTTTTTAACTTTATATTCTTATTCTATATTATCATTAATCTCCATATTTTCTGTAATTCTAGCATTCCTTAGTATAGGTTCCAATAATGAGATATAAAATACTGGATATATTCTATTTATTGATTTTAACAATCTTAACTTGTAGTTAACTAGTTTCTTCTTATCTTCAATAACAAATAATCCTAGCTTGTGATAATCAAGCTTCTGACTTAATCATTTTATTTTAATATTTCTGCAGAGTAGGAACATCTTCTCCCCTCTTTTAAAATCAGGTTTCTTTCTATATTTATAATCATAGTATATCTTGCTATATAAGTTCATAAACTTAATATCTTAGAATAACTATAAATACATGTTTTCTATAAATATAATAATATCTTTAACTATATCAGTAACTTACTACCTCTCTAATAGCATTTTTAGAAACCTTAGATAATATCTATAATTAATATAAAATAGTAAGACTCTAATAGTTAAGTAACTGGTATTATTATATAAAAACTGTGTTATTAGTAATAGATTTATTTAATTATTCTACTAGTAATTTATGTAGTATCTCAAATATTATTTAATTATTTAATTAACTTTTTTTATTTGCCCATTTATCTGCGGGTGGTAAGCCGTTATTATTTATTCTTTTATTTTTATAAGATCTACAAGTAATCTCCAGAACTTCAAGATAAATAACTTATCTTAATCTAATATAATATACTTTAGCATCTTATAATATATAATAATGTTTTCTAGAAATAGTTCTACTATTTATATTACTATTATTATCATTTTGCTTGGTACAAGATAGATATATTTAATAAAGTAATTAATAATAATTATAATAATATCAAACCCTTCCAATTCCGGTAGTAAACTAATAAAATTAATTATTATCTATTTTTATAACTATTATAGCGCCTCCTGTACTTATATTTATCTATAAGATTAGTATCTTAAAAACTTGTTTTTAATATAAGTCTCACATTATCTAATATAATCATGTACTTTCTATCTGAAGTTTAGAATATAATAATTCTTCATGATTAATTCAGTTATTTTTTTAACTTCTAGATAATCCTTGAGTAATCTATCATAATATCTAGCTATAATCTCTATCCTTATCACAATTAATATAAAGATTAATCTGTGAAAGTGTACTAATCTATCTTTATTAATAATAATCTTGTCTAGTAAGCTCTTACTTATTTTCTGGAGTATTTTATTATTTTTCATATCTTTAATTAATTACTTAATTAAGTTATTACCTATTTCCAACATTACTGCTAAGTTAGTCTTATTATAGCTGATCAACCTATCTATATTTCACTTCAGAATAGCTGATTTAATAATCTTTTTACTTAATTTATAGTTTAGCCTGTGGCTTAATATATCTATATATCTATTTTCTACTCCCTTGCAGTATATGATTCTGAAATCATATTATAACAGAATCTCAACCTATCATGCCTGTTTTCTAGTCAACTCTTTAATTATTATAAAGTAGGTTAAGTTCTTATGGTCTATCTTTATAATAACAGTATACTTTACTTCTTTAAGATAGACTCTTCACTGCTTGAACATTACTACTATAGCTAGCAATTCCTTATTATGAATGTCATAGTTAAGTTCCGCTTAAACCAACTTTCTTAAATAAAATATAATTAGTCTTAACTTTCTGTCTTCTCCAGGTTGCGTCATACGTATACCAACGGCATAATCTGATATATTAGTTTTAATGGTTATTTCTTTTTCTAGATCATGCTGTATAAGTACTAGTAATATAATAAGTCACTGCTTGATATTTTCAAACACGCTTTACTGTGGTTCTTTTTACTGATACTTCTTTAACTTCTTTATAAGCTCAAAGAATGATGTTATATAGATAGTGTATCCGTCTATAAATTATTAATAATAGTTAATTAATCTGATGAACTGCTATAATTTTTTTAGATTTCTAGATTAAGACTAATCCTGTATAACTTGTACTTTAGCCTGCTTAATATAGATTCTCTTTATAGATATCCAGTGTCCCAGAAACTCTGTTTTCTATATATAGAATTCACACTTCTTTAGCTTATATTATAACTAATATAAGTATAATTTATATAGAACTAGT